AGGTGGGGGGGGGGGGGGGGTTCGTTCAAAACATACACATACAAAATGTCAAAGGGGGGATTCAACCTCCACCCCCCCCCTGCGTACGCGCCTGGGTGGGGCTGGTCCGAGAATGGTCAGCAAGTCGCACAAGCTTTCCCGCGCCAAACCATCCTCCGTTGCTGCCAGAGTAGCTCTGCGGTTTATTTCTGCAGACTTTCCACGTCCTTCGTATGCATTTTCTGATGAAGAGAATGTCTGTTCCTTCTTGCAAATGGAGCAGCGAAGGACCATGGCGCAGTTCAACCCATTCCTCTTTGACAAATTCTCCAGAGGAATGAGATGCCATGTAAAAGATATCCAAAACGCTTTATGGAACAGGGAAAATATTTGTGCAAAGCACAATCATCAAATAATAACATAGTGCTAGTTATGACATAGCATATTACACAATTACTCATGGTATCAAGACTAAATTCACAAGATTTATTTAGCTCGAGTCAAGATTTCATTTTCGTTGTCTCTACAATCTAGAGTCTAAATTAAGATCCGTATCTTAATTTAGCTGCACGTAGTTCTTTGTAGGCCTTTTACTGGGTCATGCACATGCACAGCACCTACATCAGTACGAGAATAAACCCAACGGTGGCCTGTACTTATATTACAGCGGCGAAGAAGAAGAATCAAGAAATTCATTTTATATTCCCAAGCCCAACAATCAGGTAAGAACAATGACATGAAGCAAGGTGCAAATATTATATATTGGCAAACTTGCACTTTCACAAATACTTGAGAGGGTGTTATTTGGGCGCTAGTTCAGAAGCCTATCCCAAATTTGACCCGTAACGCCGTAGCTTAATTTAGACTCTAGATTTTCCCTTTAACAAAATACATTGGTCCGTGTTCTACGTATTCCATTAAACCCCACTGAAATATAAATCCAATTGACTTAAACTTTAAATCTATAAGGGACTAACAAAATTAAAGTCTTAGCTTAGACTGATTCTAAATCCAAGGGTTTTGTCACTGTCCCAAGTCCCCCCTTGGATTTAGAATAAATTCTTTGGACTTTAAAATAAGTCCTAGAAATTAAGAGAGCAGGGTCCAAACCATGTGTATAACTTTAACAAAAGCAAAACTTATACAAAAATGTGTTTAACCCGATTAGGGACAAAAGATTTAACTAACCCACCATCGGGATTATAATGAGGGGCATTACAAAACACAACAACTGAAAAAAACAACTTTTGTCAGAAGAAATTGGTGAACATTACAAAAATGTAAGAACTGCTAAAACTGTCCATCGGGAAAGGGTGTTCTACCACCCGGCGCCCCCCCCCCTCCCTGAAGAAAACAACAAAAATGTATATCAACCTTACGAAACTTTGCTGCTCCATAATTTTTTTGATGTACATTTTTACGATGCCAGATAAAAATGCCGGAGGTGAAAATGTACCTAGCTAATAATACACCTACTACTCCTAGTATACAGCGTGAGTCAAAAAAAAGTTTACACCTAGAAAATTGCTAATTATTATTAAAAAAATCATCGACGAACATGAAATTGTTATATATCTTATGAAAGAGTGTTTTATCCCAAATCATTTGGTACCATTTTTGTGTGGTATGTGTTCACGCTTGGATGAACAGTAGGCATTGTTTGCGAGAGTGCAAAAATCGACTTGCGCCAAAGTTGCTTATGTGATGTTTGAATAAAACAATTGGGATTTGGGTATTAATTCGGTCTTTGCAAATCCAAATAACATTCCTAACAAACTTAATCATGCCACACATATCAAATATCGAATATCAAATATCAACGAACATTTGTGCGCGTGTGTGTGGGCAGGGGTGTCACCAAAAGGGGGTGTGGGGGTGCGACACCCCTCCACCTGTCAGGATATTGTCGGTAAAATTGCGCTGCCGTCGGGAAAAAAAGAAAAGGGAGATGGAAAAAAAAGAGAGGGAAAGGGAAAGAAAAGAAAAAAAAGAATAGGAAAAGAAAAGAAAGAAAGGAAAAAAAGGAAAGAAAGGAAAAGAAAGGAAAAGAAAGGAAAGAAAAGAGAAGAAAGAAAAAGAAAGAGGGAGGAAAGAAAAGAAAGGAAAACAAAGAAAAGGGAAACAAAGAGAAAAAAGAGTTAAAGGGAAACAAAAGAAACTGGGATGAAAGAGAGGAGAGAGAGGAGAGGTAAGCGCCTGAGAGAGGAGGAGTGGGAGTAAAAGAGAGAAGGGGGTTGTTGGGTGGAGTCGTCTCGTCGAGGGAGCAAGAAAGACATGGTTAAATATGTTGATATGTCGGGTCATCTGTGTCGGTATTCTTACCCGATCCTCGTGTACTATGTCAATGCAGAAGTTTGAAGTCAGTGAGATGTATATTGTCGGTCGGCCGACAAGTTTTTTTTTCACTACGAACTGTGACTTTTTATCCGCAGTGACGACTTCAAGAGTGACTACACCTACAATACGTGTATTTTCTCGAAGTTTCATTTTCACTATAATATCAGTTAAAGAAATCAGAGGTTTAAAATTTCCGGGGAAACTAAATTCAAACAAGGTTTAAGAGTCAACAACGGTACGACGAATCGTCTTCCTTTCTCTATATTGTGATATAACGCCCCCCCCCCCCCGAAAAAAAAAAATCCGCGCTTTCCGCGGAAGGGGTAAACTGAATTCAGACAATTAGGGCTAATTAAGATTTGAAAACGGTACAACGAATCATCTTCTTTCTCTAATAATTGAATGAAACGCCAAACCCTCCGCGCTTCGCGCGGAAAGGGGACAACTGAATTCAGATAAAGATTAAGAGTCGAAAACAGCTAGTACACCAAATAGGCCTTATTAAGAGTCGAAAACGGAACAAACGAATCGTCTTCTTTCTCTAATAATTTAATGAAACGTCAAAGCTTCCGCGCTTTGCGCGAGAGGGGGAAACTGAATTCAGACAATTAGGGCTTATTAAGAGTCGAAAACGGTACAACAAATCGTCTTCTTTCTCTTATAATTTAATGAAACGTCAAAGCTTTCGCACTTCGCGCGGGAGGGAGGGAAAACCTCATTTAGACGAGTCAAGAACGGTACAACGATTCGTCTTCTTTCTCTAATATTTTAAAGAAACGTCAAGGCTTCCGCGCTTAGCGCTAAAGAGGGAAACTGAATTCCGACAATTAGGGCTTATTAAGAGTCAAAAACGGTACAACGAATCGTCTTCTTTCTCTAATAATTTAATGAAACGTCAAAGCTTCGCGCTTCGCGCGAGAGGGGGAAATTGAATTCAGACAATTAGGGCTTATTAAGAGTCGAAAACGGTACCAGGAATCGTCTTCTTTCTCTAATAATTTAATGAAACGTCAAAACTTCCGCGCTTTGCGCGGGAGGGTGGGGGAAGCCTCATTTAAACGAGTCGAGAACGGTACAACGATTCGTCTTCTTTCTCTAATATTTTAAGGAAACGTCAAAGCTTCCGCGCTTCGCGCTAAAGGGGGAAACTGAATTCAGACAGGGCTTATTAAAAGTAAAAAACGGTACCAGGAATCGTCTTCTTTCTCTAATAATTTAATGAAACGTCAAAGCTTCGCGCTTCGCGCGAGAGGGGGAAATTGAATTCAGACAATTAGGGCTTATTAAGAGTCGAAAACGGTACCAGGAATCGTCTTCTTTCTCTAATAATTTAATGAAACGTCAAAACTTCCGCGCTTTGCGCGGGAGGGGGAAGCTTTATTAAGATAAGGATTAAGAGTCGGGCACGGTTCAACGAATCGTCTACTTTCTCTAATAATTTAATGAAACGTCAAAACCTCCGCGCTTCGCGCTGAAGCGGGATTACTGAATTCAGATAAGGATTAAGAGTCGAAAACAGTACACCAAATAGGGCTTATTAAGAGTCGAAAACGGTACCAACGAATCGCCTTCTTTCTCTAATAATTTAATGAAACGATGTCTCCTGTTCATCCAAGCGTGAACACATACCACACAAAAATAATACCAAATGATTCGGGATAATACACCCTTTATAAGATATATAATAATTTACTATTCATAGATGATTTTGAAAATAATTAGCAATTTTCTAGGTGTAAACTTTTTTTTGACTCACACGGTAATTCTCCTGTCACATTACCTCAGTACTTAATAACCCAGCTCGTAGGTTAATTACCCCTACTACCTCTACTTCTATCATCCTTGTAGAAGAGTGATGTCGTTCGTTCTTTCGTTCGTGTCTCCTTAGATCAAGATAGTTATGTAAAGTTCCTTCATGAAAAGTAAATTAACTAAATTAAGTTCTTCCATCGCCCGATTGCTGCAATGGCCGTTGTATTAACAAGGACCAGGTCGTCATCTGTGCAACCCGTTCCGCCGCACTGCAAGATGTGGTCCATCGTCTGAGTCTCTCCGCAGTCGCAGAGAGTTCTCCTTCATGGGCATAGCCCCAAGCCATCTTGCCATATTGACCTTACACCGCCCCATTCTCGTCCGCATTCGATTTAGGCATTGCCACTCACGTTAAAGAGGGTGACAATTATGATGGCTTGCAGGCGCGTACACAGGGGGGGGGGGGGGGGGGGGGGGGGGGGGGGGGGGGGGGGGGGGGGTTTAAACCCCTACTTTGGAATTTTTATGTGTGTAAACCCTCCCCATCACCCCCTAAAACCCCCCCTCCCCCCCCCCCCCCCCCCCCCCTTTGGATTTTTTTTTTTTTTTTTTTAATAAAAAAAAAAAAAAAAAAAAATTATTCCCATGGCTGACCTAAATAGGTGACCTTACCCAACGGAGCCAAATGTCAAATTTTCAAATTTCGAGACCCCCCCCCCCAAAAAAAAAAAAAAAAATCCAAAGGGGGGGGGAGGGGGGGGGTGTCCTCTTACCCCTTTAGTAAAAGTTAGTCAACTTTATAGTAAAACAACTTCAATTCAGAAGGAATTCAACTTTGCGCTCTCCGTCTCTCTCGATCTCTAGCTCTGCGCTGCTCCGATATACGGCATGCACTGCACTGTCATGTCTGAATCATCAAAAGCATAGCGCCATCTTTTGGTAGCAAGCCATAGCAACGAAAATATACGGAGATGGCGAAAATAATTATTCTGTCGTGACAATCGACCTTTGAAGTACGTAAGCATTTTTCTTTTTATTATCTGTATTACAGATATCGGACTCATGATTGTGTTTTGATAACATTTCCTGGTAACCGTACGAATTAAGCTTAAGAGATTAGAGTATGTTTTTCTCAAGCGACTTTTGTTTGTCACGGTCCCACTCGTGTATTTCCGTGTCTTGTAGAGTAGCCTACTCAGCTCAGTAGTGGACATACTTACTTAGAGTTAGACCTCTAGAATCTAGGTCTACTTTTTTTTTATGGTCAGTTTTTATTCTTTTCTCTCTTGAAACAAATTATAATCATAGTACAAATTACAATCATCATATGTAACGCTCACTGCAAATGTGATGACATTATAAATCAGTAGACTCTATATTTCTAGAGACTAGAGTAAAGACTAAAGAGTAAAGAGGAGCCGGCCGGTAATCGGCCAGCTCCCGTTTTCGGCCGATTGGTTGGATGCAAGGTAAAATCACTCTAAAATACATCGCATAATAGCATAACACATATCCCACACATACCATATCATGCCAGAGTCACTGAAGAACCACATTTGCAATGAAAAATATATCCTAAAATATCACATTTTAGCGATGTAATCGGCAGTCCCGCTACCCAAATCTGAAAAATCGAGTTTCTTACGCGTGTATGTAAGAAATAGTCTATGGGTACCATAAAATGAGCTTTATTTCAAGTATTTTTCAGATTTAGAGCCCGATTTTGTGTTAGTCGCAAGCTCAAAAGTATCTCATCGCATGTATTAAATCAATGCAGCCGGACCCTGCCACGCACACACGATATGTCTGTCTAATTCAGATTCCAACTTCCGATCACCGCTGTGCCCGTCTTCAGCCAGGCGAGCACCAGGGAGCTCCGGCGTGGGATACCTGCTCCGCCCGCTTGTGCTGTACATCAGCGCGGAAACGCACGGCGCGCGCGAGCGCTTCCTATTGACTTTGTACATGCGGCCGTAAACTGAAACGCTCGGCCGATAACTGGCTCCAAAACAGTGAAAATTGAAATGAATATTGTCATGGCAATTCGTGATTTTTTTCTGGGATTCTTTTTTTGTTTAAATAATAATAATATTTGCTTCATGATTTGAACAAAAATGATAATAAATAGGAAGTAAAGGGTCCTAAAAATAGGATTTTGTCTTAAGTGGCCGAAAACGGGCTCCTTTACTAAATTTTTGTCTTACAAACGGCTTCAAAAGAAACTTACAAGGTCTAACTTAGACCTAGATCTAGTCTAGAGACTAGACTCTAGTTCCTATAGACTACATCATATTTGAAACAAAAATTCATATTTTCAAAGAAAACATATGCAGTTGTATAATCCAAAAATTTTGTTTTAACACTGTAGCAACTTATACTTCTTTTATACTGTTGTCCTGAGAGAAAAGTTTTCTCTTTTTGTTAACCCTACCTAGAGTAAAGGAGCCGGTAATCGGCCAGCTCCAGTTTTCGGCCGATTGGTTGGATGCAAGGTAAAATCATCTAAAATACATCGCATAAAATAGCATAACACATATCCCACACATACCATACCATGCCAGTGTCACTGAAGGACCACATTTGCAATGAAAAATATATCCTAAAATATCACATTTTAGCGATGTAGTCTAATCGGCGGTCCCGCTACCCGAATCTGAAAAATCGAGTATCTTACGCGTGTCTGTAAGAAATATGGGTGCCATAAAATGAGCTTTATTTCAAGTATTTTTCAGATTTAGAGCCCGATTTTGTGCTAGTCGCAAGCTCCAAAGTATCTCATTGCATGTATTAAATCAATGCAGCCGCACACCGCAACGCACACACGATATCTCTGTCTAATTCAGATTCCAATATCCGATCACTGCAGTACTAGTTTTCGGCCTGGCGAGCTCCGGCGTGGGATATCTGCTCCGCCGGCTAGTGCTATAGATCAGCGCGGAAACGCACGGCGCGTGCATGCGCTTCCTATTGACTTTGTACATGCGGCCGAAAACTGGTACGCTATGCCGAATACTGACTCCGAAACAGTGAAAATTGAAACGTACATTTTTTGTTCAAATCATGAAGCAAATATTATTATCATTTAAACAAAACAAGAATCCTAGAAAAAAATCACGAATTGCCATGATTATAGTTGATGAATATTCATTTTTTCTTTTCGAACATCCAATAGCTACCGTAGCTACCGTAGCTACCGTAGCTACGGTAGCTATTGGATGTTCGAAAAGAAAAAATGACTTTGTCCTAATTACAGTTATCAAAATTTGATAACTTAGTATTAAATGTATAATTTACGGACTTACTTATATGAATTATCCAATTTGTATAACAGTACGTTCATGCACTCAAACATAGGGCTATATGACCCGGCGGCCAAAATATTTCCGGGTCAACCTACCAAAACATAGCCAAATGGCCAATCAGAGCACTCGTTTCGTGGGAGTTCGTTGGTCAAGCCGGGCTGACTCGTACGTAGCTACTGTAGCTATTGGATGTTCGAAAAGAAAAAATGAATATTCATCAACTAAAACCAAGACGGATAATGTTGACGAGACTTTCTCGGATTAATCATTAATTTAGGATCTAAATGAGCAAGCTATCGTAAGTCAAATAAGCTATATATATGTTATTTTAATTTTTATTATAATTGCAGCAGTTATGAGGATGTAAAGAGTGAAAATCTCGTTGCATACATGTATCTCATTCATCGCGGTCCGGTTCGAACTGAACCATTTGTTTCGTACAGTCCCGTACAGTCCCGATAGGCCATACTTCAGTCTCTATAATCGGAGGTCTAGTGGAGCCAGACGTAGTCTCAGTGGAACAACCGACGATTAGAGAGACTGAAGTTTTCGGTCTAAACCCTACCCTACCCGACCTCTCCCTTATCCCCCTCCCCCCCCCCCCCTCTTAACCGGTGGACGACTGGCTCTGGGTTCCAATTGTTTGTCTAATACTCAGGTTTTCCCATTTAGAAAAATGAATAGTGAGAGTTCCCCTCATTGCTGCCAATTTCCTTTCTTCTACTTTATCCCCTATTATACTATTCTTTATTTCATTAAAAGAGGGTGGTTTTTTAAGTTCTCTATTTCTATAAATCAGATATTTAACAAGAATTAAAACATGATTCATTAATTGATATTTTCCTTTATTTCTCTAGCTCCTCTTTCCCATACAAAATTTTCTCCAAACTACAGTTATGTATTTCAAAGTCTAAAAATCTCGTGCACATTCCCCACACTGATTGTGCAAATTCACAAGTATAGAATAAATGTTTATATGTTTCTTCATCTTTTTCGCAAAATGAGCATTTAGTCGAGACAAGACCAAAACGGAAGAGGTGATGGTTTGTATATAATATATGATGTATAAGTTTGAACTGAAACTCTCTTAATCGACTGTTAAGTGTACACTGTCTTAGTCTTAAAAATATGTTTTCTATTTCCTTACAGGAAAAACTATTGTTCCTTCCAATTGTCTCAAAAACCAAAGGTTTAAAATCATCTTTCTTTATTAATTGTACATAAATTTGTTTTGATTTTAGATCAGCTATATTAGTTGTTTTCTTCCCCAAAGTGAAATCAGTTCCAGAATTATTTTTTTCTTCTCCCTTTCTAAAATTATTTTTCCAACAAACTGGTAAACAGGCATAAAAGTGCTTGATCTTTTCAATTTAATTTACTTCAACACCTAAATCGATAAAATGCCTGTCACATTTTAGTTTACCATCGTTTTCCAGAATATGTTTTAATTTGTAAATTCCTTTGTCATACAACCTCTTATCGTATATACAACTTCCTTTATATCGAATAAGTTTATTATTAAAAATTACCACATCACCAATATCTATACTCCTTTTATGTCTCGTATTCACCCAATCTTCGAATAAATCCATATAAAATTGTGGAGCTGTCACTTTTAATAAAATTGGTATATAGTCACATGAAAATATCAAATCTCCACCCACGTGTTCAGTGACAAAGTTATTATATTATATTATATTATAAAGTTACTCTAATTTCTTTTTTTTTTTAAAATCCAGACTTATCTCTCCAGCTAACGAAGACCTACAAGCTAAAGAAACAAAGTGGCCACTTCAGATCCACAATGTCGGCTAAGTTGGGGAAACTAACCTACGATGAGCCTCCGATGTACCTCCAGCGCCCCTCCTCGGGTCGATCCCAGGACGTGACCCATGTCTTGGCCAGGACCTTCAGAGACATCTTCACAAGAGACTTGGTGGAGCAGGAGACGGTTAAGAATCTCAACAAGTCTCGCAGCGGAGACGATTCCTACCATGAGAAATACGTGGAAGAACTTAGAAAGGTAATGCCAAATGAGCACAACTAATCTATGGGCTTCAATCTGCTGACATGGGAAAGTGTGCATACATATGTAATGCACTTTAAGCATGCTTATTGAATTAGAAAATCATGAAGTGTTATGAGTTTAATGTTTAGTGTTTAGAGGAGAGAGAGAGGGAGAAAGAAATGAGTGGAGAGGATTAGAGATACAGTGAAAACTAGAAGTTGGAGGCACAGAGAGAGAGAGAGAGAGAGAAAGAGAAAAAGGATAGGGGAGAGAAAGAAAAAGAAGGAATAAACCTAACTCTACTGTAGTACATCCTAATTTAACGTACCGGTATGTGAATATTATTTGATTTTGCACTGCGGAAGAATGCAGAAGTAGAAACTGGTATAATGCCTTGAATAAAATTATATAAAGAGTTTTTTGTTGTTAAAGTACCTTATATTAATACAGATGTTTCATTCTATGAAATGGCATGCCTGTTTGTATCGAGAAGGGCGTTAACTCTATGTTAAAGAGCATACAATAATGAGTTAACCCCCCCTCTGGCTCTCAGCTAGCATAGATACTCATCCTAACTTAAAATGTTTCGTATTCAGGTTCAAGCCGAGCGTGAGAGGCGTATGGCCGAGGCAGCCATGTTGGAACGCCACATCATGCAAGCCCGAGCCAAGGCCATGGCCGAGGATGAGAAGATACTGAACCGAGCAGCAGAGGGTTGTGATATCTATCATGACTTGGGGCTTCCTCCAGGTAAAGATACCTTCCTATTAAAGCCCCACTGCACTACTTGTAGCTACTTGCGCCCTCTATATCGCAATTAAACAATGAATAATTGGTACCAGTTGGTCCCCATATTGGTCCCCTTTTTCTTATGTTAATTGAGAGCTGATTTGATGAGATAACCACCTGTCAGTGACCATGCAGGGATCGAGGTCTAATCCCTCCATGCCAAATTAGTGCAGATATATAGCTTTTAAAAGGGTCATAGGTGGTAAAGTGTCTCAAACAAAAAGGAAAACAAAATGAAACAAGGCAAACAAACAAAAATCAACAAAATGAAATGATGCATGCTTAGTGTGTGTACTGCATGTGTCTCAATATACAATGCACAACTAAATTATTCATACCCTTACCAAGTTTTGTAATTTTGTAATGATTTGATGTTTTCGTTCAGTGTTGTGGATGTATTGTTGGATTGTTGGAAACATGATGGATAATAATAATAATAATAATATCGAATATTTAGGAGCGCTAAAAACAATAAGTACCATAGCGCTTACAAATACAAATATATGTAAAGAGGACAAGAAAGTACAGTACAGGAAGCGAGTATATCGATCATTGGGGGAAAAGGTGAGTTTTGAGGGATCTTTTGAAGGTGGCAAGACAGGTAATTTTCCTTATGGAAAGAGGGATGCTGTTCCATGTCTTTGATGCAGCTACTGCATGGATGCACCATGTTTTGGTAAAAAGTCTTCATATGTTATTTAGTCACCCCATGCTTAATAAAGAAACAAAAAGAAAAAGAAAAAAAGAAGACATTAACTTGCTCCTCCATGCACTTTCTCTGCAGTTCAATCTAACCTGAATGGCTGTTTGGACAGTGATCTGTTACGCAGTCATGGACTGATAGTACCAGAAGATTTCAGTACTGCTGAACCTCCTCTCACTCATGCCCCACAGGGTAAGTCTGCCACCTAGGCACAGCAAGGTTTTTAGAATGAGACCTGGGATGTATGCGGGGAGTGGCAAATGTAGAACATTGTCTTGCCGAAGAATATTTGATCCATGCCAATTGGGCTTGAACCTACTACCACTACAGCTTTAATACTCTAGTCCAGTGTTAAAACCAGGGCTCAAATTAATTTTTTGTCCACGGGGGCTCTTCCCCCGAAAAAAGAGCCCCCGTGAGCCTTCTCACGGGGGCTCTTTTATTACTGACGGGGGCTCTTTTTTATACAAATATCCATTGAATTGGTACCTATGATACTCCTCAATTATTTGCTATTTCATCATTATCATTTCAATCAGCATTTTCCCTCTTACAAATTTACAAGCTACATAGCTGTTACTGGCCTGTGTATATAATATATACGCATACAACACTGATCTTTATGATGTCTTTAACGTGACATATCTTCTTCTCCCCTTGCAAAAAAACAAAAAAACATGGTCATTAAAAGGGATTAAGCGACAAATAATGATGATTCAAATTGATGCGAATATTTGTTTGAATAAGCACTGCCATTCATCCAAATCTTCTTTGTAAAAACAACTTTTACAAATCTCAGCCATGCTTACTAAGTTGAGACGTTCCTTTCAATTTAAAATACCCATTACATAACACACTTCTCCTAATCTCAAAGTGATCTTACAGCACAGTGGCAGAATTGCATGGCTGAGGTTTGTAAAAGTCGTTTTTACAAAGAAGATTCTGGTGAAAAGCATTGCTTATTCAAAAAAATCCTTGCATCAATTTGAATCACAATGATTATTTGTCGCATGGTCCTTTTATTAAATAACCTTGTTTTCTGTTTTGTTTGCAGAGGGAGAAGAAGCTATGTCACGTTAAGAAATCATAAAGATCAGTTGTATTATGCGTATATACATATGATACCAGAACAAATGTTGATTATCAGAATGTCATTTTTGAATACCTCTATACAAATACCACATTGTCTTTAGCCCGTATCAGTATTAGTATGATCCAATATAAAGCTATTATTCTTTATTTAATTCAGTATAATGCTTTTCCTCAAAAATAGTTTTGCTATTTTTTTTAGGGTTGAGACGCTAAGAAATGGTTTTAAATGTACATTACACGAACCCTGAACCATTGCAAAATGATGGTGGTTCTCTCTCTCTCTCTCTCTCTCTTTATTTTAATCATGCATTATCAACTACATATAAAGCAGCAACCAAAAACTTAGGGTTATCTGAGATAGGTGAAAGTAAGAGTTAAAAAGAAAGTCATGCTAAAACGGCGCCTCGATCACTTCCCCCCGCCCCCTGAAAAAAATAAAATAGATTAGTAGTCCTCCTCTCCAGAATCCCCCTCCCCCGCATCACATTTTCACTTGGCAGCCTAAGGGGACCGGGGGGTGGGAGGAGGGGGTTAAACCCCCTACCCCCTACCCCCTACCCCCCCCCCCCCCCCCGTAGATCTACCCATGTTACCATATCATTCCACGACATTTTGGTCTTCCTCTTCTCCTCAGAAGGGACTTTTAGATTTGCGTGGACGTGGACGTGTTACGTCCTTTTAAGGCACTGGCAATCACATGTGACGTCCTTTTAAGCACTGGCAGTGCCTTAAAATGAGGTCACACGTTGCAGTCCACGTTCTCATCGTGCAAATCTAAAAGTCCCTAATATTGATTTACTGGTCGAGGTTCATTATTTGCTGACAACAAAAAACTTCTCCAGGCCATGACCATGTTTCTGCCCTTGCCCGATCGCCTCCAGCTCCAGCAGCCATGGTGCGGCAGCGTGCACACGCACCGCTACTAACAGCGCAGTAGGTCTATAACCACTGCTGACGGCGGCACTGCACTGCGAGCTGAATCGGTAATAATAAGCCTACTCATAAAACGAGAAACCTTGCACGCTAATCTTAGTTCCATTTCATTGGTTTAAGGTTTGAAAATTGAAACTCAATATTGTGTTAAAGTTATAACAGAAAAGATTATCTTTATTTTATAATTCCACCGGGCGATTTTTAATTTTGCAATCGCCCCCGTGAGCAACCTGACGGGGGCGATTTTGTAGCTCACGGGGGCGAATCACCCACCGCCCCCGTGTATTTTGAGCGCTGGTTGAAACTGATAGACTTATGGGGCGTTGCCAGAAAGTTGCAATCAGTTGAAAATCCCCCAATCAAGCGTAAGTCTTGCCATTAATTGTAAATTTGCAATAGATCGCAACACGTACCCAATAGTAAAAGAGAGAGAGAGAGAGAGAGAAAGAGGGGGAGAATAAAGGCTAGATCTCGTTAACGTAATGTAATTGTTAAAACTATAATCCTAACAAAATCCTAGGAAATAAAGGAGACTAGTGGGACGTTGCAAGAAAGTTGAGTTGCAATCGATTGCAAATATCAGGCGCAAATTTTGCAACTTGCAATCAATCGCAACTTTCTTGCTACGCCCCATCTGACTGATCCTACGTGACATTGTGGATATTCTTTTGTTTGTACAGCTGGAGTAATGCCCCACTATGCCGAAGCCACTCAGACGTCCACCAAGCACATTGGAGGAGGTGAGAAGGGGCAAGCTCATGATGCTACTGATAATGGTCCTCTCAAGAAACGGTCAGGGGTGAGTAAAACAGCGACTGGCTGGAATGCTCCTCAGGGAGTGGAGAATGTGCATACATTGTGTGTGGGTACTTAAGCCTGAATCAAATAGCTGGGGTAATAATAAATCTGTAAAGCGCTTAGACAGGTCGTTGTATGGATGTATTGGGCGCTATATAAAAGCAGAATATTATTATCCCCTCGCCGACGAAGTCGGAGGGGATATAGTAATGCTGCCGTCCGTCCTTCCTAATTCCTTCCGTGCGTCCGTAACAAATTTGGTTTCCGATCAATAACTTCAGTAATGTTTGACAGATTTTAATGAAATTTGATATGAAGGTACATGATATCAAAATACAGGCTAAGTTCTTAAATAGTATGCTCTATATGCACATGGTTGACTTGTTTCGGTAATTCTGTATGGGCATGATACATGTATTATTAATCATATTATTAATAACATTCATCTTCAGATTTTCTGGTTGTCGTCACTGAAAGATACAGAACATTGGCATAGGCTGACGGGAGACAACTATGATATACAACCATTAATAATATATGGTTTCAACATTAACAAAGAAATACAGGACGGTAACTTAATTAGGCCTAAACAAAAGAAGATTTTGTATTGCCCTTTAGGTGCCAACACATAGGTCGGTTAGTTGGAAATCTTTCTTCCCCTCCCCCTCCCTCTTTGGGCTGATTTTTCTCAGTTTTGAATGCTTGAATACATATTTTTTCTAAAAAAACGGTAACAAAATAAAAAACTTTAAAGAAAAGCCGACCGTAGATTTCAAGATTTTTTGGTTGGTTGCAAAGGGCAATACTACATCTTTCTTTTAACGCCTTAATTATTATCATTTTGATCTTAGCAGAAGAACGAGTCCAAGAACAAGTGGAGAGAGATGACTTCACCCCAAACACGTGAGAGGAATCGTAAGGACATGGCCATGGTCTTCAGCAAGTCAAACTTTCTCCGCAACCCCCGCCACCGTCCCCCATCGTCTCAGGGTGGGGGCAGGACGTTGGTCAACCCTAACACCATCACTCACAAGCTAGGAGGAGCCAAGTCCACTGTTATTGATACAGGGTAAGACATATCATATCGAGGGGTCAGTCACATAAAGATGTAACTCCATTTTTGGCCATTTTGAGAAAAAGTGGTTTAAAGATACTTGGGCCTTAAGCAGTTAAGTCTATGTTTAACTAGGGGTTGGGTGGAGTTAAGTCTTTGTGTTTCCTGGAAAGTCCACATTTTTCTGAACATTTTGACAAATACTCATTTTGGCAAAATATGGAGTTACTTCTTTGTGTCACTTAACCCTTGATATGGAAAGGTGAAGTTGTCCGTTGGATGTGAAGTTAGACAGATCAGGGACCCGACTTATAAAGAGTCGATATCAATTGCAACTTATTTGCGATTGATATCAAGCGCAACTTTTGAGCGCAACTTTTGTACCGAAGAGTCTTCAAACTTGCGATTGATTGGAGGACTTACGATTGATTTGGAATCAATCGTAACTCTTTATAAGATGGGCCCAGATGGGAGAGGATGATAACAATAAGGATAATGGTATTGATCATTTAGGAGCGCTAAAAACAAAAGTTCCATAGCGCTTACGAGCCGTTTTCATTTTTAGATATTATGAATATTTCCCTTTCATAGTAGAAAAGTATCTATTTATATGACTGCATATATGTATTCATATTTCTTTCTTGTGTTGTTGGTATTTTTTAGGAAAAAAGAACCTTCCGTTGTCTTTGTACCCTCGCCCTCTACAATCGTCTTCAGCAACTATAAAGTAGGTCAGGTCTACGAGATGACCCTTGACCTCAAGAATGTATCGGCAGCGAGTCGTCCACTCAGGGTCCTTCCTCCAAAGACGGAATACTTTGCTGTAGGTCTAGGTGAGTGTTTGGTACCTAGAATTTTGATCTGTTGTCCCATGCCTATGAAACAAACTCCCTGTATTATTTTCTGGGAAATAGTTATTCACTTGACTTCTTCAAATAACATCTGAAAACAAACCTCTACAATTCTTAATTTGTCCTTGGATTAAGGGACAGCTCCTTGTATCTGAAAAGGCACTTTAGAAATCCAATTATTTTTAAATTATTTTTATCAGTATTATTATTATCATTATTAGTAATAAAACTGATATTGCCTATTGTGCAGACAAGAGCAGTTAGTTTTTCCCAACAGTGTCTGTATCTTATAACACAGAGGTCAATAATGACACATGGGGATCATTTTCTGAGGCAGCTTTGCATTTCAATTAAAAGGATTTCCTCTTGCCATTTATTTATGCTCAATTTTTCTGTGGTTGATTTCGATGGAATTTTCTCTGTTATGGCAGAATAGATCTGTTTTCATTAGCTCAAGATTGCCCCAAAACCTGCTATTTTAACCAGCCCGATCGCAAATTATGCAGCTAATTTGCGTCATCATCAGCCCGCAGTTGCAGTTAGCGGGATATTTGGTTGAGATAATCATGCCAAGATATCTTGGGCTAGTTTGCAAAATATCCCGCTCTTTGTCCGGTGTGTCTTCACCAGATCGAAGACTCGCACTATGCGCGAACGCTGAGCAAAATATCTTGAGCTCGAGTTTCAAGGTCGACTCTCGAGCTGATGAAGCGCTTATTTCCCAAATCAGAAATAGTGGGCTATTTAGCAATCTAGAGCTGATGAAAACATACCTATTGAGGCTTGATTGTAAGTTTGATTGCATTCTTTTCTGCTGTAGGGAAATTCCCCGGTGAGGAGGGCATTGTTGCTCCCGGTATGAGCTGTCAGTACAACATCCGCTTTATGCCTGATGCTCTGATGGACTTTGAGGATGAGCTGACGGTCAGCACACAGTCCAGTCAACCAATCACCGTCAAACTCCTGGGAAAGAGGCCACCACCTCTTCTTACATGTAAGTACTTAATGCACTGATCGGGGCCCCGTGGCACAAAACTTACCAATGATTGTAACTTTAATTGTCATCAATGGTAACTACCATGGAAACCTTGATTTTGATTGGCTGTTGAGCCCTGTTACCATGGTAGTTGCCATTGATGGCAAAGTTACCATCAGTGGTAAGTTTTATGCAACGGGGCCCAGGAAAGTCTACAGCTGCATGGATTCGCGTTAGTAGAATAGCACTCATGATGAAGAAATGTGTCATGTTTATTAAATTTCATACTGTACTTGTTAAAACAATATTGTCTTTTTTACCGTTCCATTGCAGAGGGCAGTAGTAGATCCTGGTACTACGATGGTACACAGTATTTGTATGAATGTGCTGTGCGTGAGCGCCAAAATTAGTTGCCTAGCAGAGCCGGAGTAATATTGGAGCTCCTTGAGCACCTTTTGTCAATTATTATTACCATGGTAGTACCACTACAATTATTAAATAGAGCTATGGTAGTACTGTCTGTATCATGGTAATACCATATATTTTGTGTAAGGGGTAAGAGTAAACTGCGACGAGCTGGGATAAACAAAGGCTTACATAATGTGTATAAAATCCTCAAAAAGCAAAGAAATTTGAGAAGTTTGCAGGGGTAGGAGTTAACCAAAAATCATAAATTGTTGAGAATGATAAGTTGTCTTCTTTGTCTTCCATTTTCCAGTATCTCCTGTTGTAGACTGTGGTCACTGTCTCGTTGACGGCCCCTCTAACACGGAGTTCTTGGTCAGGAATCTTGGTGGCAGTGGACGCTTCTGTGTCATGCCTAGGAAGTGCTGGCCAGCAACCAACTTTTCAGTAAGTTCCACGCCATGTTTGATCATTAGCTCTAGAGCATTCTTCTTTCATATGATGTGTTTTGCAGCTTTAGGGCATTTTTGTAGTGTGAAAGGCAATGGTCTTCAGAACATTACATAAAAGGCACATCTAAATCAAAGCTAGACTATTGCTAGAATGTGCAATAATGTGAAGTTCTCCAGAGCCCCATTTCACAAAACTTGTCAACAGTGACAATTAAAGATAAACTTGAGTTCTGGTAAAAAAAGAAAATTAATTCTCACAGAATCTAACGAAACTTACACTGAATGTTCAAGATTACAAATTAATTTCATGTGCCAAACAATTTTGGAAGAAAATGTATACTGGCTGAGTAATGAGCATAGAAAGATAAGGAAATCAGGGTAGTACTAGCCCCGACACCATGTGAGTTGTCCCATATACATCTTTCTGTGTAAGTGATTGTTACTTTACCAAGACTCTGCCAAATTTATCATGATTTTGATGACTCCAGAACCTTGCATTACACACCATTACTTTCATGCTATATGATCAACTTTTCTGATCCATTCCACACCTTTTCTTTCACAATGCAATCGCATTACCAGAACTCAAGTTTATCTTTAAATAACAGTTTTTGTTATAAGCTAGTGAAATCCTTGCTTCTGATTCGTCATTTGTCATTGAAAAAAGGCTTTGTGAAATGGGCCCCAGGACTTCACATTTAACTTTCAATTTCTGAGAGCCAAATGGGTGTTAAAAAATATGTCTATATGCTTGAAATAGTAAATATTCAGCCTCTCAGTTGACACTGATATTATTTATGTCATTTCATAATGAAGTTATACAAATCCTTGGAGTTTTGCTCTACTTTTACATGTATCCCTTTAACAGATCATATGTTGTAATTTGGGGTCATTGCAATTTTTAGGTTTTCCTTTAACCTTTGACCTCCGTTTATGTCCAGCCCAGTGTTATTGTAATAATAAGTATATCTTTTGATGATTTTCGATTTTAATATCCAGGAATGTGAGAATTGGTAGATGTATTTTCACTTTTTAATGCAATGTAATCCAAGGAAGTTAGCATTGATGAAACTTTGTGACCTCTATTTTTATTTTGTAATCCTTTCAGTCGGTTGCTACGGGAGACAGGGTCAACCTTCCACCTTTCCAGCTGTATCCAGCAGTGTTTGAGATCATGGAGGGTCATGCCATTCCACTACAGGTGAGGGGGAAATAAGGATGGGTGGGGGGGGGGGGGGGAGGGCACTGAACCCCACCCGAAACAGGTTGAAGTTAAAAAAATATTTTCCAGAAACCAAAATGTATCCAAACAAAACATCCAATTACTAAAATTATTATTGTATTTAGATTTGCATTTAAATTGATTGGGCTAATTTAAGTTGCCCTTTTATAATAATAATAACAGGAATTTCTATAGCGCTGTCTATCTACATAATTCTATTCCGAGGCGCATTTATTATTACCCGGCTTTAGCCAAGCTGCCGTTTATACAGCACTCCAGCACTTCAAGGAATTAATTCCTGCCAGGTACCCATTTACATCACCTGGGTTGAGTGTGGCAAATGTAGATCAATGTCTTGCCATTTCAGTGAGTGTAACTTCTAACTATTTCATGATAAACAATTCAGAGTGGTTTTAAGGCTTTCTCTCTCTCATAAGGGGATTCCATTACCAAAACTAAAACTCATCTATAATCCGTTGAACCCATGAAGACTTTGACTGGAGGCTATATAAAATGTATAACAAAACCAAATGGATTCCAGTAGATTGATGCTACATCCTCGCGTATTTATCTTTCAGCTTTATATGTCTTTTCTTTTTTTGTAGGTTTCATTTAAGCCGACAGATACCCAAATCTATGAGGAAGAAATCACAGTAGTCTGTGATAACTGCACTGTCAAGCACTTTATTCTCAAAGGTAAGGTACCATCAATAGAATGCCTCATGAGAATGAATGTTTGATAACAAGCAAAACAATTTTTTTTCTTCTTGATATCAATGATATCAATGGATGTATAAAGGATGGAATTCCGCTCCTAATAAGCCCTAGAACCATGAAAATTTAAAACAAAGCTACACAGCTCAACACAATCCTCAAATTGCCCAGATAATAATGATAATGATGAGTTCAATTCAATTGAACATTTATTTTCTTCCTTTCAATTTGAAGAAAATAAATGTTCAATTGAACTGAACTTATTATCTTATTGTTAAAATGATATAAACATTTTTTAAAAGAAGAGAGATTTTAGGGCTTTCTTAAAAGTTTGATGTCTGTCATGAGGCATGGGAGAGCATTCCAAAGTGTTGGGCCTCCATGCCAGTGCTCTAGCTGTCACCATAGATCTTTGTTGCCCCAGATGGCCACACACATGTTGCTTTGATGCACCAATCACTTACCTGCACAATATCACTTTGCATAAAACCATAGTAAAAAGAAACGGCTTGGAGACCATTTCACCTTACCCAATTTGCTATTATATTTTTGTTGGCTTTGGTGTCCATTTGACTGGCCATTTGACCTGTTCCTGAACATATGAAATTCATACATTGTATGTAGCTAGTATGTTGAAGTAGATACTTATTTACTTCTTGATATTCAGAGTTGTATGTTGATTAGTTTTTGTCTATAACAGGAGGAATGAATCAATTATGTACCACTCCTGTGCTAATTGTTTTCATTGTTTAAATTGTGAAAATATAATTGGGTGTTCTTTTGGACTGGAATCTCGATGAAGCAATAAGCATTCATGCATGTATTTGTGAACTGGACTACTTTTATAATATCTGACACAGCAATGATATTTACGATGACACATACTTTCTGTATTACGTGGTCTAGGTGAGGGTCAAAGAGCAAGGGTGCTGCTAGAATCCGCTTCAGGGAGTGAGACGAATCCAACCCCAGGAGAGCTGGTGGACGTGACGGCTAAGAATCATATCAGGTTTGAAGATATCAACCCCATGACCTACGTCACAGAGGAACTCACCATTAGAAATCTAACGTAAGAATTATTCATCTTTATCATCCATTCCATTAATTTAAATCTGAGACTGTCATGTCCTGAAATTTTCACAGAAAATATTCATGAGCACCATTTTCATGGCAAGAAAACTTTTGAAATTGAAAAAATAAAGTCCTAGTGTAATTTAAAAAAAAAAATTAAAAAAATGTATTTCAGCTTCAAACGGTTTCAGATCTGGCTCGTGTTAAAGCCCCTCTGCACTAGTTTGGCCCTAGTTTCTCCCTGCGTGGTCACCGACAGGTAGTTATCTCATCAAATCAGGTCTTATCAGGTCTTATGATAGATTAAATGTTTCTTCTCTTGTATATTCTTTTTGATTCGTCAGAAATGTGGAGTTGCCATTCCACTGGCAGCTTGTACGTTCATCACCAGAGTGCAGGGATCCCTTCAGAGAGGGAAAGAAAGACGGTCAACAGATCTCAAGAGTAGCTGATGAGAGGAACATATTCTGCATTAACATGGAGAAAGGAGTTTTACCACCCTCTGGAACTGCTGTCACCAGTGTTGCCTTTGCTCCACCCAAGGTACACACAAATATTTTGTCATTTTGTTTCCTTGGTATTCATTCATTGATAGAATATCTCTGTTGGCAATGTCTTATTGTTTTATGCATAAAGTGATACATCAAAAGATGCATTTGGCATGATGTGCAGTTTCTTACTCTTCTTTTTTGCTTCATATTCTCTCTCTCTTCTTCTCTGCGTTTTCTTTTTGCTCTCCTTCCTTTCCTCCCTCCCTTTTTTCTCACTTCTGTCTTTTTCTGTGTTTACCTGCCTTCTCTCTCTCTCTCATTCTCTTTCTCTCTCTCTTTCTCTCTTTCTCTCTTTCTTTCTCTCTCTCTCTCTCTCTCTCTCTCTCTCTCTCTTTCTTTATCACTGCTGTTTTCAAATGAATCTCTCTCACGTTCCAAAATATCGTAAACAGTCTCTCATACAACGTACATTTCCATTCTAACATTCTGTCATACTGCATCAGCAACATCCCATCTATGACATAGGTCTGAAGAAGCTTGCTGCGTACGAACAAAATCTTACCAAAACAGTTAGATTTTCTACTGATTGTAAAGAAAGAACCTCTCATACATGTCCTTTATCTTCCCTTCCAGATGGGTCAGTTTGAGAGTGTTCTACAGCTGGTCCTGAAGAACATCCCTCGCCCTGCGGCGACCCGCAAGGTCAAATCATCCTCATCCCACCCACGGGGGTCCTTGTCGTCTTCACAGTCGGGCGACACCTCCTCCAAGCAACCTCCCGTCTGCTCCACACCCCGCCCCACCAGCCACACGGCATCCCAAGCCTTCATCACACAAAGAGAAGATGGTGATGATGATGGTGGTGGTGGTGGTGGTGGTAGTGGTGGTGGTGGTGGTGGTGGGATGGGGGATGGTGGTGTAGGGGAGCATGCTGAGGAAGGGGACAGTCTGGGGTTGGAGGTAGAGCTGAAGGGGGTATGTAAGGAGTACGAGGTCCTGGTCCAGCCCTATGCTGTCTTCGTCCCCGGTCAAGTGCTACAATCAACAGCCACCCGAAGGAAGTTTACGGTCAGTCCATAATGATAATAAAAGGCATCGTTTAACAATGTTAAATCTGAGACGCATGGCCTTACTATTATCAGTGTCTACGATATGGTGTAATAATAAAGCCCTGGAAAAATTGCACTTCAAAATGATCATGAATTGCCTCAAAAAAGTAAAAATCTTTGAGTGACCGGTTTTACCATACTCATTTCCCCCAATAGACTGTGTTATGAAAACTGTTGGGAAAACGCAAAATTTGATTTTGATTTCCAATCATAAATATCTTGATAATCAGACAGGCGATCGGCTTGTAAAAGTCATGGGATTCCTGAATGACCTAGAGGTTTATAATTATCATTGCAGCGTGAGCTAAGTCCAGGATTTTGTTTCAAAATCTGAGACAAAGTCACCCAATCGCCTGAATAGCACATCTGACATTCTGATATGAGGTCCCTATGTCTACACTCAAAGAGCATTGGAAATCCATTTCTGCCTGGTGTATGAAGATTGGGGTTAAAAGATTGTTCATATTTACTCAAGGCGGTATGGTAGTATTTCTAGATTTTAGGCATGCAATTGTGATAATTCATATCATTATACTCCTATGAGCGATCTGTGATTCAGTGATAGGAAATGATGTCATGGATGTTTTTTTTCTTCTCAGTTATATATTCCAGATGTAAAACCAAAGCAAATTTCCAGTACTTTCCATCGTCACTCTACAAAGGTGCTGATCGTATGATTTTTCTCAATTGTATATTACAGATGTTAAACTACAGCAAGTTTCCCATCGTCTTCCATTGGAGCTCTTTGAAGGATAGTCACATTATCGAGGTGCAGACACCCGAGGGTCAGATACCTCCTGAGAGCTCTGTAGAGCTGGAGATGACCATCATAGGCGGTCATCCAGGACACATTGACCACACCTTACACTGTGTTATTGACCATCAGGAATCCACTGTACCACTCAGGGTCGTAGCTGATGTCAAGGTGAATGAGCAATTGATGAAATCAATTTCTGTTTCAATTTCGATTTAATTTCCAATTCCAATTCCATTTCAATTCATAAATTTCAATTCCATTATAAATTTCAATTCCATTTTCAATTCCATTTTCAATTCCAATCCCATTTCCAATTTCAATTCTATTCCTGTCTTTCAATTCCAATTCCGATTACAATTTGATAAAAGAATAATTATTGGTGATTTTGATATATGTTTAGGTTGACCAGAGGAGCAACTACTTGACCATTTGACATCTTAGTCATATGGCCAGAGAGTTACAGGATGTATCTCTCAAATGTCATTTATTGGTTAAAACTGAAAACTCCCATTTTCAAACATTCAATATTACAACACTCCAGAAATTCATGAAATCCTATTTCTATGACTCTCGTACTTCAGGGTCCAGAGGTTTCCATCGAGACGCCATCCCTGGACTTTGGCTTGGTACGTCTTGGTCAGACAGTGAGGAAGCAGTTCTATCTGACCAACGAGAGTCAGGTCTCTGCTCGATGGAATCTCAAGGAGAGCGAGGAGTTTCTTCTCAAGGATCAACAATCTGGACAGGTATAGAATAAAGCTTTTTTCAGTCTGCTCTATTAATTCACTCAAATTTGTGTACTCTTATTATGTGTACATTCCTCTCCAAAGTTTTATTTAAAAATATATCTTTAATTACCTAATATATGCGTACTATAATCCAATCCAATCTAAAAGATATTTGATATAGCGCCTTTTCCTATAAGCATTTTTGATAAAGAAATCTGTTCTGATATGAATTTTATGATTAATTAAGATATCTTTCTCTGGGGTACTATCAAATTTACAAAAGGGTATCAGGATTTAATAAAATCTTCATCTTGATAAAAACATTTGTAATGATGTGTAATTTGCTACTTGAAATGTGGGTAGTTTGAAATACTTATACCTTTTAAAGACTTAAGGTATTAGGAACAGTGAGATTATGTAGCAAACAATGAACTACTCCTGTCTGTAGTTCAGTACTTTCTCTTCAATTTCAAAATGATTAGGATGAGTTTTAAACCACTCATTCTATTGATTCCATTTTCTTGTTTGTTGCAGAGTGTATCGGAGTTTACCATCACGCCTTCCAGTGGGGAGCTTGGCCCTCTCTTGTCCGTCCTGGTAGAGGTTGTCCTTTCTCCAACCCGCCGTCGGCAGATAGACTCTGTCATGGAGCTGACTGTAGAGGGTGGCAAAACTAGGTGAGTTGGAAAACCGTTAGAAAAGGAGGTATATTTGTCAGCTACTGTAGATGTTTTTTTCCTGGTATTTAAGTGAATTTGTGATCTTTCATTATTGCTCCTTGTTCATTTATCAGAATATTATAACTAGAAAAATAGTACCCATGAACACAAAGGATGAAATAATATGCCATGAAAATGGCATGGCAGGTACTGATTAAGAGGAGAGGGAACAGGGTGGGGATAATCATCTTTGTTTGGATGGCAGTTTCCCTTGTGATGTTTATCCCATAAGGGTGATTCTCCAGGTAATGGTAGTCGAGGTATTAGTAGTCCACGAAGCTATGTGTAGTTGTCATAGATTCTCACATTCTTTATGTCTTTGGTCTGAAAATATTAGTTCAGGTGCTGGTGAAAATTGATTTCTGATCATAGGTCTTATTGAAAGACTTATGGGGCGTTGCAATCGCAATTGAGTCGCAATTGATTGCAAGTTGCAAAATTTGAAACTGATATTTGCAATCGATTGCAACTCAACTTTCTTGCAACGCCCCACTAGTCTCCTAAATTTCCTAGGATTTTGTTAGGATTAAAGTTTTAACAATTAAATTGATTTAACTACATCTAGCTTTTATTACCCCCCCCCCCCCTCTTTCTCTCTCTCTTACCAATGGTGCTTTGCAAGAAAGGTGAGTTGCGATTAATTCATCGCAAGCCTTACCCTTGATTTGGGGGATTAATTTGCAATTCATTGCAACTTTCTTGCAACGCCCCATACGTCTGCTGTAAGAAATAACTCTGTGCTCTTTACCTAATCTTCCAATGCCTTTCCTTCCACCCTGTAGGTATGTTGGTGTGTATGGTGAGGTCCAGAGCCCTCAGGTGTGTGTCCTGGAGAGTACCCTTGAGCTACCTGAGATCTACCAAGGAATCCCTGTTACACACACCGTACAGCTCTTCAATCAGACCATGCTTCCTGCATCGTACCAGTGGCAACAGGTAAGCACTGCATATAGGGTTCTGAGATGTGATAGTTTTGTTTGTTGGTGTGTATGGTGTGTATCCTAGAGAGTACCCTGGAGCTACCTGAGATCTACCAAGGAATCCCTGTCACACACACACCGTACAGCTCTTCAATCAGACTATGCTTCCTGCATCGTACCAGTGGCAACAGGTAAGCACTGCATATAGGGTTCTGAGATGTGATAGTTTTGTTTATTGGTGTGTATGGTGTGTGTCCTAGAGAGTACCCTGGAGCTACCTGAGATCTACCAAGGAATCCCTGTCACACACACCGTACAGCTCTTCAATCAGACTATGCTTCCTGCATCGTACCAGTGGCAACAGGTAAGCACTGCATATAGGGTTCTGAGATGTGATCGTTTTGTTTGTTGATGTGTATGGTGTGTGTCCTAGAGAGTACCCTGGAGCTACCTGAGATCTACCAAGGAATCCCTGTCACACACACTGTACAGCTCTTCAATCAGACTATGCTTCCTGCATCGTACCAGTGGCAACAGGTAAGCACTGGCAGGAATAAGACAAAAGCTTCTGAATAATATAAGAGCTTGACAACTGAGCGTCTTGGGCCATGTTATACGAAAGAATAGGTTGGAAAATCTTGCACTGACTGGAAGAATCGAGGGGAGGAGGAGTAGGGGTAGAAGGAGGATTCTGTGGATGAGTAGCTTCAGGAGTGGAATTTCTGAAAGGTGAATTGATCTTGAGGAGAATGGAATTACTTCATAGAATATGGGACAGAGAGTTGTGGCATTCCATGGTTGCCAACGTCTCTGGACATGGCACATAGAGAGAGAGAGAGAGAGAGAGAGAGAGAGAGAGAAGCACTGCATAGGGTTTTGAGGTGTGATAATAACAATATCAACCCCTTTGCCTACATGAGCCGGGTGGCTACTGTATTAAGCCTATAGGAATGAATAAATTGAGTAGTGATAGGGGTCAATAATATTTTGTTTACCCAGGGAAGCCTCGTTACCATCAATGCTGTTCCTCTTGTTAAGTAATGTAATCAAATCTAATGCACAAATTTTTGTTAACTCCCTCGTTACAAATTATTTCATTCACCTGTTACGAATAAGTGTATTTCAATAGTCAGAAAGCGATTTTGCATACATTAACTGTTGCTAGGTATGGCTTAACTATTTTCTTCATCTGTTACAATCTTCTTGTGCAGCCCAAAGGGAAACAGTCATCAATTTGCTCAGTAACCTTTGACCCAGAGCAAGGCATTCTGGGACCACATGAACAGCTTCCCGTTTCAGTTACAATTGTTGCCAAAGAACAAGTAAGTGGTACAGAAATAAAAATGTATGTATATATCTACATATGTATATCTGAAAAAAATATAATGTTCTGTATCAGTCGGATTAAAATGAAGGTGCATTTTAGTGGAGGTCTGATACATATAAGTATATGATGTTGGTCTCTAAACGTGTCACTAATATTACAAGTGAAATCTTTGAAATGGCATTGTACAATATATCACAACCTTCCATTCTCTGTTATTTTGGTCAATGATGTAGTGTTCATTCATGTATATCATGTAATACTAGATCCATATTTTATAGGAAGGATATCAAATTTGAAAGAAAATTTGATATTAATTAAAACTTGATTTTTTTTCTTCATCACTTATGCAACAGTTTATCCTTGATGATAATACAAAAATATGTCTGCTAGGACTGTCAAAAAGGACTCTGTGAACATTACATCTTCTTACACATAATTGTCTCTCTTGCTTTAGGGCCCATTGTCTGATGTGTGGATACCATGTTTGGTCAGTGGAATGGTCAAGCCTATATTCCTGGCTTTAGTAGGAGATGTCCAGGGACTGAGGGTGACCTACAGGACACCTGAGGTCAGACCGTCCACTGCACTGGACACAGGAAACAGGTATTGTGATCCTAATCAGAACTTCTTCTCATCCTCTTCACAGTACTCTAATTTTGATTTGTTTGTTGTAGAGGTGATGTACATGTAGTCGAGCCATTAAAAACACTTGCTTGGTAATTCAGATCCAAACATAAGATATGTACTGTAAACGCAGAAATATTTGCGTTTTTTGCATTCATTTTCGCTAAGATCGGCAAGCGCAGAGTTTAAAACTCGCAAAAATATAGGCACGACTTCTTACACATGTTTTGAACGGGCTGAATTGCATGCAATGCGAATTTAATAACCCGCAAATATGTTTTAGGGTCGCTCAGCGCTGACTATGAATACAGCCATTTACAGTATACCATATATCATCAATAATTTGTGCATTTCTCACACATCGGTTGTTACAGCACAGAATTCTCAACAATTTGCAATCTACATGTATCAACTGGATCATTTATCAACTCTCAAAAATTGCCTTTTTGTAGGTTGACCAAAGCCATAAGTGTAACTTTGTTACTTCCTATAATTATTTCCCCTTCTGATACATTGTAGTTGTGTTATTTTCCTGTAATCATCTTACAAAACCCTGGAATTAATTTCCTTTTATCCATCAGGCTATCTGAGGAACCTTCCAAGGACGACGCCCCTCTAGCCCTGGACTTTGGTGATGATGTAGAGCTAGCGAACACACCCAAAAGACTGGTCTACCTGACCAACCATACAGCCATCCCTGCTCCATTCTCACTCACTGTGGATATGTACTCAGCAGGGAAACCCCCTACTCCTCCTCAGACAGATAGACCCACTGCAGACAGTCCCAGGAGGTAAGGATAAGTGGATCACTAATTTTAAAGATTATTTTTTAAAAGGAAAGTTGTAATGACATTGCCAAATGCAGTTAGTGTCAATTATGTGCTAGATATTTTTATAACACACAGGTGCGATAGCTCAGTCGGTAGAGCAGTCTCGTAATCCGGTGACCCGGGTTTGAAACCAAGTCGAAGGGCTAGTGCCCTTTGGTAAGGCATTAATCCTGATTACCAGGTCCCTCGGAGTGGACCTAAAGCCATCGGCCGTCTGGTTGCTTACTTACAAACATTTATGCTTTCTTAGCAGTCAGGTAAAACAAGCCATCAAACCACTACATTGAACAAAGAGAAGAAAATTGTAATGAAATTACCAAATACAGTCAGTGTGAATTTGTTCTTCATGTGCCGAAAGATACATGTGCTAGATATTTTGACATTCTGTCCATGAATTTTGATGAAATTTAGGGTAAAAAATTTAAGAAAAAAAGAATTTCAGTTCGTAGTTAAATTACTTTGCAATTTACTCATCATACTTATGCTATACATCTCATGATTGGATTATTCATTAAAATATGCACCCAGAGGCCTAGTTATTCATGGGGATATTCTTAAGTTAGAAATCTAACTGTCAAGACTCACGTATGTATCTTCTTCCTGTGTCTGTTCTTCAATCCAGGCATGGAGCGTTGCTGAGCAGAACAGCGAACCTAGCAGACCCCAGGAGCAAGTCCTTAGCCCAGAGCCAGACGGACAGCATGAAGGCCATCCTGAGGGAGGGCCAAGGGGCAGCATTCCTGGTCCAACCCTGCTCAGGGATACTGGAACCGTTCGCCACTCTGGAGGTGGCCGTGACTGCCTATAGCGACATGTGGGGGAACTATACAGACCAGCTCAACTGTGAGGTAAGAGATTGTGACATGGAAATAGGGCTACAAGTATATAGTCAAAATGTATCATAGAAGAGAGTTGTATTCATATCTACTGTAGATGTATTTAACCAATTCAACCCAACAATTTGTGTACATTTTTTGGAGTAAAAAAATGATGCACAAATTGCTGTACATGTTTGGACAAGTATGTAAAACAATAATAGAACATTTCAAAGGACCAGTATTGCTATATTGGACAAGCTTCAGACAAGTTTTGGGTCATCAAGTCTGGACAAGAGAAATTTTGACAAGGAAATACATTAAAAAAAAAACAACATACTAATATGTGTATTACAATGAGTAGATTGTGTCATTTCTTTTGTATTGTTTCTCACCTGACCCGTGTATCTATTCTAATCACCACAAATTTGAATACAGTCAATCTTGTCTGTTTCAGTCCAAACCAATCCAGGAATTTGTAGAGCACCAATATCTAGTTACCTAGTTGACTAAAAAAACTGCTGAATAGTGTATGCCGTTCATGATTCAGCAGGGAAAGACTAATAGTTCCATAGCAATGTGGAATAAGTATATCTTGAGTTAGGTTTTGAAACGATAAGAAATGATAAGATCTATTAGAATGATAAGAAAGTGTCTTTTCTCTTTCCATTAACAGGTATCAAACCTGGAGCCTGTATGTATCCCAATCAGCTTGGGTGTGACTGGCTGCCCTCTCAAGTTTCAGATGGCGACCATCAGAGGTCAGATCCCGTTTGTAAGGTTTGGAACCCACATCTGTGGTGTGCCATCCATCAACAGACCACTCAAGATCATGAATAACAGCCCGTATGGTGAGTTGTCCTTTCTTCTTCTCTCATTTTTGCCATCCTGTTTACATTTAACTTTCTCCATAAGCCTTTATCATTTTCTTTCTTCATTATTTAATCTTTTCACTGCCGTAAGCAATTTAAACATGCCCAAACATGTACATTGTATCTAAATGCAAAGAATGTCTTTCTGAATTCTTAAAGATAAACTTGAGTTCTGGTAAAAATAGAAAATGAATTCTCACAGAATCAAACGAAACTTACCGTACACTGAATGTTCGAGATTACAAATAAATGTCATTAGCCAAACAATTTTGGTAGAAAATGTATACTGGCTGAGTAATGAGCATAGAGAGTAGGGAAATGTAGGTTAGTATAACCCCCGACACCATTTGTGTAGTCCCATATACATCTTTCTGTGTCCATGCTTGTTACTTTACCAAGACTGGGCCAAATTTATTATGATTTTGATGACTCCAGAACCTTGCAGTACACACCAATACTAACATGCTACACTGTACATGATCATCTTTTTCTGATCCATTCCACACGTATTATAGAGGGCACAAGTAGCTATAAGTAGTGCAGTGGAGCTTTAAATGTTAGAGATTGTATGTTCAATCTCCAAATACAAAATATAAGCATCCCTCTGGGAACTTCATGCTTACTTTCAAAAATTTTCTTTGTGAACAGAAATGCGTGTTGACTGGAGGCTCTTCAACCTCATGGAAGACGACCGCAAGTTGATCGACCTTCAGGTCATCTACGGTGACCCCTTCCCGATCCTTGACCCCAGTGGTGCAGAGGTCATCGCGGAGGACGATGATGATGTCCTGGAGAGTGATCAGAAAGAGGACGGTGACCCTGAGACAGGGGAAGAGGCCGCTGGGGGAGGTGGAGGTGGTGGACTGCTGTCTAAGATAGCTGATGATCTCGAGGCGAGTGAGAAGGATAGGCCGAAGGTGCTCAGCGTCCTTATGAGAGAACATGAAGGCGTACCTGCTGATGGTCCGTTCAGCATCGATATGAAACAGATGGTAAGTGACAGTGGTATAGGTGTACAGGGGGATGTTTCACAAAGACTAAGATCGACTTTAAGTTGGACTTAACTATGGCAGGCCATTCATGCCACTGCTTGCTCTCACCATTGGTCTTTCAATTATTATCTTTCGATAATATTTTTTCCTTCAAATATGAACTATCAAAAAATGTGAATTCTGTAGATTTGTGACCATGATTTGTACGTCCCTTGAGAGACCAATGCCAGTAAATGGTGAGAGAAAACGATGCCATGAACGGCCTGCCATAGTTAAATCCAACTTAAAGTCGACAAAAAGTTTCTTTCTGGTTTTCAATCCAGGCATTGATACGATTTGGAGTATCTGTCTCCTGATTTTCGTTGCTGCCATCATATAGATTGAGAGACCTAGAAATAGCCTTTTGACATGTGCGTCAATAATTGTTTACTTGTTAATAATGTTTTTACATTGTTCACATTCAGAGATGCCAGTTTTCAGGCAATAGCCTGAATTCAGGCCCTGGCAAGTTATTTTCAGACCATAGTTTAGGCTTTTTTGTGTACAAAATAGCTGTGATTTTCAGGCCTTCCGATCAATTCTAAATGGCATCCCTGCACATTATATTAGTAAACTATTTGTTTTAATATAACGTTTGTCTAGTTTGCATGAAATATGCAAGTCTAGCTGGGATGGAAGCGATAATTTGTCCAGTTTAATTACACAGTGAAACTTGTCTTTAAAGACCACCCAAGGTAGACAAGAAAAGTGGTCTTTATGGGCAGGTGGTCTTCGTGTACAGTTTCCTTCAGTGCATATTTCAATGAGAAATTATTTTCAAGGGAAACATGAAATATGGTCTTTGTGTACCCAAGGGAGACAAGAAAAGTGTTCTTAGTACACAGGTGGTCTTTGTGTACAGGTTCCTTCAGTGCATGTTTCAATGAGAAATCATTTTCAAGGGAAACAAGAATGTGGTCTTTGTGTACAGGTGGTCACTAAAGCAGGTTTGACTGTAACTCTCTCTCTTCCCTCTCCTAGGTGATACCCGGCCGTGGGACGGCAAACATAGTGGCTAGCTTCACACCCGAGGCATGCCATCTACTCAGTCAGAGATCCTCGGACTGTGTCGGTTACGCCCTGGGGTACCTGAGTCTTGATCAGCCGGAGCTGCGTGGCCAATCAGGAAGCGTGACCCGGGGTCAAGCGTTCGAAGTGCCCCCTCTACGACTTGATTTCACGGCTTATATCAAGACTGCCTTGTAAGTCTTGTCTCCGAATTTATGTGTAGCACGCAATGTATAGAGGTATTGTGGCTCCATAGAACTGTTGATCAAATGCTAGCTGGAAGTACAGACACAGGAAAGATACATACATGAGTCTTGACATATCCCATAAATCAAGAAGCCTCTTGGTTCATTTTTCAATGAATAAGCCAATCATGAGATTATATACATTTAGTCCGATTATGAAAAGTTAATTGCAAAGAAATAGTATGAACTGACATTCTCTTTTTCATTTGTTTACACTAAATTTCATCCCAAATCATGGACAGAATGTCGAAATATCTTGCACATGTCCCTTTTGACACAAGAAGAACAAATTGACACTAGCTGCATTTGGCAATTTTATTACAATTTTCCTCTTTTTTGTAAATGTTGTGATCCAGTTATCCTTACCTCCTGGGACTGTCTGCAGTAGTCATGTCTTATTGGCAAATTATTAACTGTGATTTGATACTGCTAACCCTGACATAGTAAAATAGAATTGTTGCTTTCAGTTTGCAAAAGCTGTGGGAGTAGGATACGTTCATTATGTGAATGTAGCTGTAATTATGGTCATTACTTTGGTTGTATCATAATCATCTGTGTGTGGAGCTCAAAGGATGTCACCAGATGTTTGAGTTTTGATTTTGAGAAAAAAAAGAAAAATATTATTACAAATACTTCGCTATTCCATCATTTCTATAACTGTTATGTTGCATTCAATCTCACATCCAAATAACATCAGATTGAATATTTAATTCCTTTGGCAGTGTGAGTGTAGAGACGTCAGAGGAAGAAGGTCTCACCTACCGTACCGCTGCCAGTCAGCTCTTGGACCTGGACCCACCCATCCCACCCACCCCGACCCTCCACGATCGCCCCTCTGTACGCCCCTGCTCCCTCCATCCCTGCCACCTCACCAGCCTAACAGCCACCCTCACCAACAACACCCAGACGCCCCTGTCCTTCCAGGCCGTCACCCCACTACCCTTCCTGCTTCAGAGGATCGACCCTGTTACGAAGAAGACCAAGAAGGGGACTATTGTTAACGTGAGGTCAGAGGCCACGGAGGCAGGAGTGCTGTATTCACTACCGACACAGAAAAACCTGCAGGTAAGATATATTACAGATATCATGTGGCTACAGTATCAAGGCATGATCATATTTCTCTACATGTTGGCAATGAGTCGGTTGTAGGGAAAACATTACCTTTAACATTAAAATTTCAAGGAATATTAACTTTATGTTCATTTTTGCACCCAATCTGAGTATTATTCTTGTTATAGATTAGCTTATAAATTAAATAGATGTAGCGGCCATAGTCATAGAAAATCTCAAATATATATTGTTTCTAAAGTTGAATATTTTCTTAGTATTTAAAGGTAGGTCGAGAAAATGTACTGGCATGTATAACTGCACATTCTTATCTATGGATTTTACAATATATCTGGGCCCCATCATCCTTGAACTGTTATCTGAATTACTACTTTTGAGAAAGGGCTGCCTGGCCAATACTGAGATTCATGTGCCTCTACATATCACTAAGCAAGCTAATTTGACTGTTAGTTCTGAGTATATGACTCGTAATAGTATTTACTGGTCTGTTCTCTTTTTATACGTCAGGTAAAGCTTGGATTCCAACTGGATCTGGCTTTGATCATGAATAACCTGGAGCAGCTTTGCCTCAATGAGAGCAAAGAGGGCGTCCTATTGACCTGCGAGGAAGGGGAACGTAAACTACACATACACAAGGATCTCCTGCTCTGCTACACAAACAGCACAGTCCAGGTAAGAAATTAGAACAGCAAAACAGAACATCACAAAACAGAACAACACAAAACATAACAACACAACATAAATCAATATATTTGTCCTTCTCTAAAAGGAAGGTGGATGTATTAATTGAATCTGTTACGATACAAGAGAGTATTACAAATTTTGTTGATGTCTTGTGACATATCAATCATCAGTTCTGTAATTAATTAATTTCTAGTGAATGTATTGTGGTTTTTTAACAGTAGGCCCAAAACAGCACCATCTATGATGTCCTTCAATCATTTCATGTTCAGTATTCATGTATTAGACAACAGATTTTTATCGGTCTACCTGTCAAAGAACCGTCAATTGTTTGCATCCAAGTCGGGTATTGTTAAAGGAGGAGATTTCTCACTCAGAAATGAGGCTTTTGGTATCATTGTTTTGAACAATCTTTAGAATCAAGCAAGTAATAGAAAACTCCACATTAGGGCAATTCCACGGTAACGGAAGGACACTCAGACAAGATTTTTGAACTTCAGGTTCATACTAAAAGAACTGTTTTATTAGTATAAGATGTGAAACAGTACAGATATAATACCTATATAAGTGCCTTTAATTCTCCCCCCAAAAATTGTCATTATAGTTAAGTAGTTTAAGAATGTGCATATTAATTATCTCGGTAAGGGAAGGACATAAAAATGGACATGGTTTTTCCAGTTAATTAGTGTTTATATCCAAACTTTGTGAAGTTGATGAAGCTTTCCACTTGACTGAAACACATTTTGTTCCCCATAGTTTAATACATACTAATAAAACATTTCTTTTAGTATGAACCTGAAGTTCAAAAATCTTGTCTGAGTGTCCTTCCGTTACTGTGGAATTGCCCATTAAAGGATCATTTGATTTAGGTACTGTTTGATTGTGTTTTGGAATTGGCAATGAAATTATATGAGCTCAGATTATAACAGCTACAAATTAACCCATACAAGTTCAGAGTTTCGAAAGGTCTAAATGAATCAGCTTTTCCTCCTCAAATTGGCATAAATTATTTGTATTTCCCACTCTTTCAGTTTATACAAAGGAAATGTATATTAAATGAATCAAGAAATTGTTACTTTGAACAAGAAAATAGTGTTAATAATTTTCACTTGGTGTTGCCAATTTAGAGACTTCAATGATTAATTTTGATAAAACTGCTCTTAGAACTGCACAATGTACTGCAACAGAAATAAAAAGTGATAAAATAAAATAAAATGTGACTCTAAAATAAAAGGTGACTCTAAACTGCTACGCTTTAATATGCAAAACCCATGTGAAATACCCCCCCCCCCCCACACACACACACACCAATCAATAGATTGAAAGGCTATGGATGGCCTGCTTGTGATGCCCTTAATTCACAATTTGCACTGTATTCCTTTCCAGAAACTGCCTCTGTATGCCGTGATTGTCCTGCCTTCCATTGAGTTGACCCCCTGGGAGCTGGACTTTGGTGTTTGTCTTGTCGGTCAAGAGAGAAGCTTGAAGGTGACCATCAGCAACAGGACGTCCTCGGGATCATACTGGACAGTCTCATATGGTCAGTTTTAGGATTCTCTGTCCATGATTTCATAACATTGTTGCCTTCTCTCTTTACTTTTGTACCTTATACTTAATGGCATTTATATTCAAAATAAAAGAATCACTTGGAATTATGCATCTTTAAATTAATAAAAACTTTAAGCTTTCACAGTGTTGTATGAACAGGAAAATGTCTAAAAGAGCAGAAATTTGGGACTCTATCAAATGTATTTTTCATCAAATTAGAGAGTATTGATTATTCAGAAATTCCTATTCAGTTTAATTTAATTTTTTGGTTACAATTTAAATTTCATATAACAAGCATTTTCCGTAGACTTTAGCCCAAGTTAACTGTCTATCAAGGTATTGTCTCCCAGTTCGGGGGTTGTTTGCAACACTTTTCAACACATTTCTGTTTTCTGCCATCCTAGTACACCCTTGCTCGCTAACTCATGTAACCTCAGGGTGGGTATAATGTATAGAGAGACAGAGACGGAGAGAAATAAGACACATAGGAGAGGGAGAGAGAGAGAGAGAGAGAGAGAGAGAGAGAGAGAGAGAGGGGAGGGAGAGTGCTGATGTTGGCAAATATTTCTGCAGGGCGCAATGATTGTTTTGAATGTCTTCTATTCTAAACATTCTTTTTCTTGCTCCATCAGATTCTCACAAGACTACATCGGACAATGTGTTTGAGGTGTCGCCCCCTGCTGGGTACCTGGAGCCTCACATCACCCATGTCTCTGATAGCAAGACCATCCTCACCGTCTACTTCACACCACCGTAAGTTCATAGGTCAAAGGTCAACTTTGAATACCTACCAAATTACTAATCCCAACACAGGACCTGAACTATGTTTAGTCCTGAACCTGACAGAGAACCAAATAGCAAACCATGTCATTACCTTCTTCACACTGTAGATCGTCATAGCAAGACCCTACTGTCTACTTTAAACCTTTAAAGGTAAAGACCAGTATTGCAAACGCCCCAATTTCAAAAAATGAAATGGAAGCTCTCATTACCAATCATGTGAAAGAATATGTTTTGACTAATACATGATGATAACAAATTTGCCGGGAAACCGCCTACTAATTCATATATTTGGTAAATTTGTTTCTCTCATGGTCTGTGAGAGATATAGGGTAGTCCCATATACATCTTTCTGTGTATAGTGCTTGTAACTTTACGAAGAATGGGCCAAATTTCTTATCATTTTGATGATTCCAGAACCTTGCAGATGCTAGATGCTAGATGATCAACCTTTTCTGATCGATTCCACAACGTTTCTTTCTCAATGCAATCGCATGACCATAACTGGTCTTTACCTTTAAAGAGTCCGCTAGTTGATACTGTAAGCAGTGGATTGCATGTTATGTTAAAAATGTCTCTGATACAGATATATCATTACAAATATGATTACACCTGCTAGGATATCGATCAATGTTTAAGGCACACCTAAATTTCTATTCAAACTTTCGGATACTCAAAAGGATAATGTGCAGTTTAGTTCTAGTTAAAGATAATTGGAATGAATTCAACAATGAAAAAGACAAAATCTGGACATTGAAGGTTCATTTCTAAATAATGCCTGTTTGGTAGAGTGGCACAGCTAATGAAGGGGTAAATTGATCAATTTCTTAGAGTGGCATATGGTTTAGTTTGTATTAAATAGATTTGATATCAAAATAGGGTTACACAGGCTGAATGTCTAATCAACAAAGATGTATTGATAAGCATTCAAAATGGGATTGCATAACTTTTCTTCCCTATCCGAATCCGATGATTAAGATATTCATATTTCTTTTCTTCCTTCAGGCACAGCATATCCTATGCCGGTACGTTTGTCTTCAGGGGTCTGCTCGGAGAGGAGACTAGGCACTTACAGGTCAGAGGTCAAGGTACCTATGACAGCCGCCAGGAAGCCTTGGTCAACCCATGAAGATAATGGAACAGAATCAGCTCTCATTTAGACACTAAACCTTGATATAGAACCTTATTATTTATTCACCATCTTATTGTAAGGGTTGGTCAATCCAAGAAAGAATTAAAGATGATAATTTGGAAAAACACACTTTTTAGATTATATTTTATGATGTATAGCCAGGCTTTCTGATTCAATGATTCATTTTTCGTGAAAATATCCCTAAATTTACGAAAATCGTTTCTTTTGACAATATTTCCCTAAAATGGCTTTAAAATGCCACAGTTACATGTAGGTCTCTATTTCAATGGATTAATAATAGTTCCATAAAAACATTACAGCATATACTGACCTAAAAAATGATCTGTGTACAGCTAGAATGTATAAAATCAACCTTTAAAAAAAACCCACATCATTCTATGCTGGGCCAACAGATAAGAAGCATGAAGAAATTGGAGAATGAAATAAGACCCCACGCATGGAACCATAGTCAGGCTCTTGATTTGGCTCCATGTGGGCCATATTTCATCTGGGCATATATGGATGTGACAAAGTAGTCTACTCACAAATCATCTTCATGTTTATTGGGACTGTGTGTGTACTTCAATTTGCAGTATTTAAAGCTCATAAATGTATTTTGAATAGGTATAGCCATATGGAACCTCCAACATACAGAGAAATATATTGGTGTGTGAGTACACTTTAAGATAAATGCTTACGGTAGTCACGATGTTATGATTTTCTTTAAAGATAAAGACCAGTTATTGTGAAAGAAACGTGAAATTGATCAGAAAAGGTTGATCATCTAGCATAGATGTACTGCAAGGTTCTGGAATCATCAAAATGATAAGAAATTTGGCCCAGTCTTCATAAAGTTACAAGCACTGTACACAGAAAGATGTATATGGGACTACGCACATGTGCGCGACACGTACGTTTTTATCTCTCACACACCAATAGTTAAACTAATTTACCAAATATATCAATTAGTAGACGTTTCCCGGCAAATTTTTTATCATCATGTATCATTCAAAACATATTCTTTCACATGATTGGTAATAAGAGCTTCCATTTCATTTTTTTAAATTGGGGCATTTCCAATACTGGTCTTTACCTTTAAAAATGATAATAAGGAGCAAGTGTGCATACTCTCAATTGTGTATCAAATCTCCATAGATGAAAGGTATTGACTGACAGAACCATGTCTCTGTGTTTTTTAAATATTTGAGTGAAGGCATATATATATATAATAGCAACAAATCTCTGGACATGGTGATAGCATACTTCTATAAATGCCAACTTGGCATTCAAACTGCCAGAGGAATGTTGATATATTTCCATGGCAACCAATTACATTCTATACCAACACATGTACATAACTGATCTTCTACTAATAGATATCTGTAATTATTATTTATATATGTGGGATTGGTTAAATTGTTTCTCATGTTACATGTATGGGGCTATTCACTGATTGTTAAATTAGAATTTATATATTCATGAATATATCTCAATTTTAACTTATGTAAATTATGGGTGTATATATAAGTGCATATAAATATTTGTAAAATAAGATTTTGTTATAATCTTTGTAAATATATATAAAAACTGTGTTGTCTGCAAAGTAAAATCAAATTTTGTCTTTTGTGTTCTGATTTCATGGATAAAAATCTTCTCCTTGATATTAAAAAAAAATAGAACATGAATGATGACGGATCCTAAAATGATTCATGAAGCAAGTTAGTAATTTCTCTTTAAAACAAAACAGAGGAAAAGAAGAGAGAGAGAGAAAAAAAAAGGAGAGAGAGAGAGACAGACAGACAGACAGGGAAAGAGGAGTAGGGGAGACTTAGAGAGACAGAGATAAAGGAGAGGGGAGAGAGACGGAGATCGACATGCAGACAGATGGGGGGGGGGGGGACGCGAATTTTTTTTCCGTACTCGAGAGAGCAAAAATCCCATGTGCGCATGCGCGTGGACTTATGATTTCTCTGCTACTTCCCATACGAAATGTACATGTATTCGCATGTACTGTGCACGATTCGCGTTCTACGAGTAAACGATGGCATAGTAGTCTTCAAACACAGACTCTGATTTGCCAGTTTGACAAATCAATATGCGTATGTGTCGCGATGTGCTTATTCAAGTCTGTGTAGTTGTATGATTCAGACCCAGTAGTGCATATGGAAATACATTGCAACTTGTATAGAATGGTATAGTAGTCTGCAAGCACAGACGCTAATCTGACAGTTTGACAACATACTAGTAGTGTGCTGAGAAGTACTTTATTCAAGTCGCCAACTTGTATAGAATGGTATAGTAGTCTGCAAGCACAGACGCTAATCTGACAGTTTGACAACATACTAGTAGTGTGCTGAGAAGTACTTTATTCAAGTCTGCGTAGATGTATGATTCAGACCCTACTAAAAAAAAAGCACTACTCAATACACAATAGGCCTATATTATTCTGTCAAACTGTCAAAGGAGAGTCTGTGCTTGCATACTACTATGCCACTCTATAAGTTGAGGTGCATTTCCAATACACGCACCAGTAGGGTCTGAATCATAAAACTACTCAGACTTGAATAACACTATTTTGTCAAACTGTCAGATTAGCGTCTGTGCTTGCTTGCAGACTACTATGCCACTCTGCAAGTTGAGATGCCTTTCCAATACACGCACCAGTAGGGTCTGAATCATAAAACTACACATATTTGAATATAAAGCACTACTCAAGACACTATGTTGTCAAACTGTCCGATTAGCGTCTGTGCTTGCAGACTACTATACCATGCTATTCAATTTGGGATGCATTTCTGTAAGCACTAAAATGTCTGAATCATACAACTACTCAGACTTGAATACTAGTACTATTGCTACGCACGATATATGCGTAATTGTTTTGTCAAACTGGCAAATCAGAGTCTGTGTTTGAAGACTACTATGCCATCGTTTACTCGTAGAACGCGAATCGTGCACAGTACATGCGAATACATGTACATTTCGTATGGGAAGTAGCAGAGAAATCACAAGTCCACGCGCATGCGCACATGGGGTATTTGCCCTCTCGAGTACGGAAAAAAAATTCGCGGGGGGGACACCGTAAAGAGATAAACTTGACATGTGGAGGAGGGGTATTTAGGAGAGAAACTGAGGGGAGTGAGATAGAGAGATAACTATAGAGAAGGTAGAGAGATAGATCGAGAGATAACTAGAGAAGGTAGAGAGAGAGAGAAAGGGGGAGCTAGGGGAGAAGAAAGGGAGAGAGGATCGGGACAGTATAGAGAGATTATATGAGAAAATAGATGTGTGTATACAATCAAGACTCATATATGAAGAGCTCAAGTCGAAGAGAAAAGCAAAAGAGCTGCTCTTTACTTTCGTGTATATGTCACATGTACCCATGTCAAGAAAGATCTTCAACCCCTTTGGAAAAACAATAAAGAAGAACAAAAACATGACCTTAATTATCACCTAATCTGCTACTATAGCTGAGATACGCGAAATTTTAGTATTTCCTTTTTGATTGGACGTTTTGACGACACTATACACACGATCAGCCCAACACGCCGACTCGTTACCAATAATTGACCGGACTCAAGTGGACGAAAATATCACAAAATTGCATGAAAAATGCCGAAGGTTAAAGTTCTTAGTAGGAATCCAGATGACTATGTCCGAGAGACGAAGCATGATATACATAAAGGTAAGTTGTTGATGGTTGTGTTCGGTGTAGGATGAGTGAATGATTTCGACAGATTTTCCCCAGTAGTCCCACTCGTTCGATAAATTGATGGGAATTCATCGCTGTTAAGAATGTAGATCTACACACACTTTCATCGACATCTAAAGTGGTACTGGACATGATTGTTGATGTTTTCTGTTTATTTGTTGTGCGTATTTTGTGCTTGAGTTTTAATGTTTAGAGCTTGTGTAATCATTGTATTAATATTATGTTTGTAGTTTAATTGGTAGTGACCTCTGAGGCTCTGGCAAAAGTGGAGGGAGCAAAATGAAGAAGAAGACGAAGATATTAAAAAAAAAGAGACTGAGAGTGAGAGAGAAGGAGGAAAGGAGGAGGAAAAAAAAGGATAATATAAAAGCATCTCAATGGGTCAAATATTGAGAAGATATGAGATATATCTAACCGTAATTAAGGCATCATGATGGGATTTCGGCGCTAGTGTAGTTCCGTATCCATTCTTTTAGCAGTTTCATATCCATTCTTAGACTTAGCAAAGGAATTTTAGCCCTATTTTTTACTAATTTTAATCATATAGATTTCTTTTACATTTTCCACCTGAATTTGGATCACATCTGACATCGGAAAACCTCCGTTGAGGGCTTCGATGTCGACGTCGCTCAGTACCGTCTCCGTGCTATACTCTATAGCTCTGCACCTCAAACTGAAGCTATCAGTTTAAAATTATGCAAACTTCTCGTATATTTTATGGTATCGCGCATGTGCGTAATACCATAAAGCATACGCAAAATTTGCATAATTTTAGACTGATAGCTTCAGTTTGAGGTGCAGAGCTATAGCGCGGAGACAGTACTGAGCGACGACGTCGACATCGAAGCCCTAAACGTAGGCTTCCTGATGTTGGATGTGATCCAAATTCAGGTGGAAAATGTGATATATGATTATGTTTAAAATTAGTAAAAAAAAATGGGCTAAAATTTCTTTGCTGGATATGAAACTGCTCAAAAAATGGATACGAAACTACACTAGCGCCGGGATTTCTCTCCCTCGACCCTCTCTCCCTTTTCCCCTTCCCTCTCTCTCACACACGTGTTTGATGTTATGACGAAAAATACAACTTAAAACTATCAGGTCGATTGAGTTTGGTATAGGTCTAAACAGACTTGTCTTGCAAGTACAGAGCAGTACATACTTCATGTAATCCTTACCAATTGTGTTTGTTAGTGATAGTACACCATGAAAATGAAATGCTTTACTCACTTAAATAGATCTACTTCAAGGGTGTTTGAAATCTATAGGAAAAGGCTGCGTAGCAACTTTTACTATTTACACAATCTATAGTACCCCATCTACAAGATTCATGTTGCAGAATTTACATGTTGTTTATAGACCTTAACTATATTCTTTTTCTCACTCTCACTTTTTTCCAGTTCCCCGTAATTATGACCCATCCTTGCATCCGTTTGAGGCACCGAGGGAGTATGTGAGAGCTCTGAACGCCACCAAACTAGAAAGGGTGTTTGCCAAGCCCTTCTTAGGGTCACTGGAAGGTCATACTGATTCTGTCCATTGCATGAGGAACCATCCGACCAATCTGTCAACGGTCGTCTCAGGTGGATGCGATGGCACGGTAAGGACTTATTTCTAAGTAACCCTTTAGCATAGATCCGTGGATTGTAGGGCCGTTGGCCATTTTCTTCCTGGAAAAAAATGATTTTAAGACTGGACATTACTTTTGTACAATGATTATATCTCAAAGAAGTGACCCCACCATATGTATTTGTCACTTTTTGAAGTAGGACAAAATAATTCTGGGCCGGTATTCACCTGTTAAGACCCTGCTACTATTACAGATGAGAATCAATAAGTGGTTTGGGGTGGTTCAAGAAGTAATCGGAAGTGCAGTTTGAGGAAGCTTAGGTGGTGATGATTTCATAGACTTTCCTCTCTAGAAGTCCTTTAAAATAAATCCTTCTCATTTTGTTAAAAGTAAATATTTTTACCTAAGTCACTACATAACATGTACTTCATCATTTACATTTCTGTTTATTAGAAATTGCAAAGGAAAATTGTTTGTTTTGTTCTTACAGGTCAAACTTTGGGATCTTTCAACCAGAGCATGTCAGAGGTCTATCCAAGCACACAAAGGCTTTGTGAGAGGGTTATGTATGGACAAGTCTGGTCAGTTCTTATTCACAGTGAGTATGACGTTTGTGTGATTGTACGTGTACTTGTTTTGTACAGAATGACAGCTCCATGTGGGGAAATTCTGGATAAAACCTTGTGAACGTTGATTTCATTTCAAACGAGTATGAGCGTCATGTGTAACAGTGTCTTTCATGCATAGAGCTGAATGCACTATTTCACTAATTTTGGTGCCTGAAATTCTAGAAATTCTGAAGAATCTTTTTGTGCAAGTTAGAACATAGAATATGCTTAATTCTCTCAGTCAATCCGTCTTCCATTGGTGTGCTTTCCTCCTGCAAATAATGGTATTCCCTGATCATAAAATATTCCTAATTTCTATGTGTTCCTCTTTTCCACTTTATCTCTTTTCTTATTTTGTGCATCCATAAACAAACCATTAATTCATTACGAGGATACCAAATACCAAATACTTTGTATAAATGTTTATACATGTTCTTACTTATTCTTTATTGCTGTTATGAGTTTATGTTCATGATTTTTTTATTATTATTATATATATATATTTTTTAAACTCTTGTTCCTCATTATGTTTAACAAGGCCTCATGGAAGACCACCATTATTGATGATAATGAGTCACCCTGTCTAAATATCAAAAATAAATAAATAAATAATATTTTTATCATCCCCTTCTCTCTTTTTCTGTTCTTCTGTCTCTAGGTTGGAGATGACAAAGCTATCAAGAAATGGAGAACATTTCCCGACGCGAATGAAACAAGTCCAAAACCATTGAATACCATTATAGGAAAGGTATCCTTGCTCACATTATTCAAAGATGGTTACTAACTGGTAGCTAAAGAAAGTTGACATGAAACCAAACAAGGGTTGAAAATCACTGTAGATTCCTAGTTGCTCTTCTTTTGAAGCAGCTAAGCATTTTATATTTAGTAGTTTGCCATTTCTTCAGTTTTAAAGTGAAAGTGGAAGTCCCCCCTGTCATTTTCTTAGTTGTTGATGACAGAATAGATTTGTTTCATACAGGGGTTGTGTAAAATGATGTGCATAGATTATATATAGAATACGTATACATGTAGTTTGAAATATATTGTCTAAAAAATATAGACATTTCAGTATTATTTCTTTCTGAGTGAATAGGAGAGGAGCTTATAAGATACATCATGTAGTTACCAGCATGTTTCCTTGATAGCAACTTAAAAATGTTGGACTTTCCTCCTTAAGAAATCTGATATAATGGATTTTCTTTCTTTTAATGGGCTCTCCACAATATTGTACACAGACTTGAAGTTCAAGAGGAGATGCATAGTCATCTCCACAAAATTTTACATCGAGGGGTCAGTGGTACAAAGACGTAACTCCATTTTGGCCATTTTGAGAAAAAGTGGTTTAAAGATAGAGGTCAACTTGAGCCTTAAGGAGTTAAGTCTATGTTTCACTAACCATCGACTTCAATGGGGTGTTTGGTGGAGTTGGGTCTTTGTGATTCCTGGAAAGCCCACATTTTTATGAACATTTTGATATCAAATACTAATTTTGACAAAATATGGAGTTTCGTCTTTGTGTCACTGAACCCTCGACATAGCTCACAACAACCAAGAACTTAATTCTGCATATCCCTTTACGATATCATTTGATTGTTTGTTTCAGAACATGTTCATTTCAATCGATCATCATTGGAAGGAGCCCAAGTACGCTACGTGCGGGTCACAGGTCGACATCTGGGATGAGACGCACGCTGACCCCATCAGGACGTACTCGTGGGGGTCAGACAGTATACACAACATCAAGTTCAACCCAGTGGAGGTTAGTTTGTTTATTTCAGTATCATTATTACCTAAAAATGATAATAATTAAACAAGTAACTTACAGTTAACTACTAAATTATTCACACTCCTTGTAAATTTGATGTTTTTGTGTTTTTTGTATTCAACTCAAGAATGAAAGGTGGACTGGTTGAATTAGGGCCATTATACAATACTTTTTGATGTAAGCTTTAATATGTCTACCGGTATTTCTCAAGAAACATAAATCAGGACAAGTCCATTTCTCACACACTTAAAAAATGGTTTGAATAATTTAGTTGTGTTAGCTGTATATTGTGCCATCTATCTAATAAAACTTTTCAGAGGTGCATTATAGAAATTTATTTTACATACATTTAGGTGATGTATGTCTTTGCAAAGGCACACCTGTTTAATAGTACAGATTGTATTGAATTAAAGGGATGAATTCTTGTAGTGTCAATTGTTATTATTTGAAGAGAAAGAAACATGGGACATTATGAAGAAAATAAATCAAATAAACAAATGTTATGTTTAAGAGCGAAGTGGTATCTATTGAGTAGTGTAACAATATGAGAGCACTTCTGTCCCACTGACTGACTGAGCCAAACTTGACCACGTTATATGATAACTGAACCAGAAGGGCATTGAATCTGTGTTAAAGTTTATGAGCTAACGCCCTTTTTGCTTCAAACAGACGATATGTTTGTGGAAATGGAGATGGTTGTTATGTTAGCCCGTTTTCCAATCTATGTTTTTTAGACTTACATGCTAGGTAGCTGTACCCAGGACAGGAACATCATCTTATATGACATGAGAGGGGCGGCGCCACTCAGGAAGGTCGTCATGGAGATGAGAACAAACACCATCGCATGGAATCCAATGGAGGCTTTCACATTCACAGCAGCCAATGAAGATTACAAGTAAGACCATTGAAAATTGTATTATAATTCCAACTTTTTTAAATTTAAATTTAAATTTCAATTTATTGTCCAATATTGGAAATTTGTTTTGCTCACATTTTACAAAAGTACAAAGAATCGAAATAAGTTTACATAATACGTCATACACTTTGACATAGAAATTCTTCAGAATATTGCTGTACAGAAAGTGTTGCTACGTTATAATAGAACAAAATAAGTGAACGAGTGAACAGGATGGCCTGGAAAATAAACAAAACGTCAAGATAGAGCATGAGTGAGCCCTTTTCAGGGCCAACTAACCCTGTTGAAAGAATACTTTGTGTAACCATAAACCTCAGTCAACTATATCATCACCATGGAAGCCTTCAATGAAATCTCTTTTTTTCCTCAAGAATCTGTAAGGCTCATGTGGAAATGGTCCATCGTGGGAAACTCAGGATTTACAAACGTTATGTAATCAAGTATGACATGGTCAATCAAATACTGAATGTAGCTCTCTCTCCCTCCCGTACAAGTTCCATCACATTCTATCTTTTGTTGTATCTGGTGGTATATCTTCACTTTTATGCTTGCTAAATTTTACAAACAATATTAAATAGGCAACACTTGTGTTCATGCTTTTGCTTTTGTTTGCAGAGGTCCCCCCTTTCCTCTTTTTTCCCCTTTCAGCTCTGAAACCATTTTGTAAATATGTCTTATTATCTCTACTCTTCCAGCTTATACACATTTGACATGAGGAATTTGAAGACTGCCCTCAATGTTCACATGGACCACATCTCAGCGGTGGTGGATGTAGATTACTCACCGACTGGGAAGGAGTTTGTGACTGGTAGCTTTGACAAGACCATCAGGATATACAATGTGGATAAGGGACATAGCCGGTAAGAATATTGGGAATTGTGTCTACGTTAAACTATTATATATACCCTCCTACACATAGTGTGTCTGGGCAGATTATTTCATACAGCATTTTGAACAGGTCTTTCAAACGCTGTGTTGACAATGTTGAAAATAAAATATATTCCGGGTTGTTTCTGCTATTTGATGCTCATTATTCACAAAAAATCTAACACAGTATAGATGGCTCTATTTTTGTAAAGGTCCTGCAGAGCTGCCAACCATTACGTTTTTCCCGGAATTACTATTTTGTTTTTGTTCATGAAATAATTTTTTTTTGAGGGCACATACCGCACGTCAAGAATGAAATGCTGATGATACAAAAAAACAAAAACTACCTACTTGTAAGTAAATATAGGTCCTAATACCGGTATGGAAATAGTTGTAAGGTTGATAGAAGCCTATTAAACTACATGTTAACTTTTCTTTTCTTTACTATTTGTCTAGTGAGGTATACCATACGAAGCGTATGCAGCATGTTAGCTGTGTAAGATGGAGTCTGGATAACAAGTACATTCTCAGCGGCTCTGATGAGATGAACATCAGGATATGGAAGGCTAATGCATCGGAGAAGCTCGGAAAGGTAAATATTTTGAAACATTTTCACACTTAAATACCAATGTTTTTTTGTTTTTTCTTCAATTGCAAAATTTAATGAGCCTTGACATCTGGGTATCGTTTCACGAAACCGTGAAAGTTATATGTTTATATGTACAAGTTCAAGTACAAGTTCACCAACATCCCATTGAAACATCCCATGTTAGATATAATGCAAACAATTCAATGGGTTGTCAGTGAACTTGTACCCAAGATGGTTTCAGAATAGATGCCCAGATTTCAGGGCTCGGTAATTATATATATATATATATATATATATATATATATATATATATATATATATTTATATTATTCCAATAGATAAAGCATACAAATAAAAAATACAGTACAGATGCAGTTCATTTTACATGAAATCAAGGGTACCTTAAAAGCCTAAGTCAGTCTTGTCAGGATATAATCCTCTTCTGAAAAAATTTGAGAGTGCTCAAATGCGAGAGTATATTTAAACATTTAGTTACACGAGTATGCAAACAAAAACATTAACATCCCCCCCCCCCCCCCAAAAAAGAGAAAAAGTTAGAAGATTCCTTCTTAAGGTTTATTTGCTTTTGCTTTTCACAGCTGAACCGAAGAGAAGAGGCATCCACACTGTACAATTCCAAACTGAAGGAGAAGTTCCAGCACCACCCGCAGGTGAAGAGGATAAGCAGACATCGCCATGTACCGAGTCTGATCTACAGGGAGACCAAGACTATACGCATCCAGAAGGAGTCAAAGAAACGAAAGTATGTATTCTTTGAGAGACATTAAAGGCATCGTTTAACAATGTTAAATCTGAGATACACGGCCCTACGTGTTATCAGTGTCCGTGATATGGTGTAATATTGAAGCCCTAAAAAAATGCGCTTCAAAATGACCAAGAAGTGCCTTAAAAAAGTAAAAAATCTTTGAGTGACCGGGTTTACCATACTCATTTTCCCCAATAGACTGTAAAAGTCATGGGGTTCGTGACTGACCTAAAGGTTTATAATTATCATTGCAGCTTGAGCTAAATCCAGGATTTTGTTTCAGAATCTGAGATAAAGTTACCCAATCCCTTTAAGTTGATTGTAATAGAAGCAGAAAAAGAAATATCAATTTATTCAATTAACTGTAGGTATATACATGTATTGTATAGTTCCTGCCTGCTCCAGCTATCTCAATCTAGGATAGAATAAATCCGAATGAAAGTCAGGCAATAGTTTTTTTGTTTTTTTCCATTTAGTCATCTCCATACACCTTGCTTGGTGTTTAGTGTGATAAATATGCAGATTGAGAATGTGTAAAAACAGTTTTCATAGCTTTATGAGATGTTATCAGTTCATGTAGTCATGAGATTACACAGGGTCAGTTTTGATTTGTAAGGCACAGTTTTTGTCCTAACATGAATAATGCCAAATAAAAAAACAAAACATGTTTAGCGTCCTGCCTTTTTGAAAAATAGCAAGGAGGAGGCCCTTTTTGTTTTCCTTCTTCAAAATGGCCGCTTGTTACATTTTCCCTGACAGTCGGGCTATTTTTCAAGATGGCCGCCAGCATTTTTTTATAAACTTCAGGAAAAGATCATTTTAGCAGTATGTTTTTCATGTTTTTCCATCTAAAAAAAAGAAGAAAAAAAAAGCAGGCGGCCCCCCCCCAAAAAAGCAGGCGGCCCCAAAAAGAAAGCGGGAGGGGATGCTAAACATGATTTTTTATTTTTTAATGGCCTTACATGGGGTTTCTTTTTTTTTAAGAGCAACTTACAAACATTTTCTGTCTTTTATCTTCACAGGGAACACAACAGGAGGAAGCACAGCAAACCAGGATCAGTCCCGTTCAAGCCAGAGAGAAAGAAACACATCTTAGCAGAAGTGGAATGATAAAATACTTAATAAAGTTATTCTTCATCTTGGAACATTATGCATTGCAATGCTTGCTGCATAGAGAACCGTTGAAAATGATCTCAACTTCTTAGCTCTCTCTTGCTGTCATGATTATGACACGTGACTACTCTTATACATGGGATATCCGCTGATGGCTATTTCTTGGTCAACCATCATGCTACGGTGACCACAAAATTCATTGTCCTCTTGAATGGTGTTTTGCTGAACATCATAACAGGGGCCGGTTGTATTTTGGATTCCAGTGCCTGGCTTACCCCTATTGAAAAGACTCGAGATGAATGTTGCTTTGTCTTTCTTTGATGAAAAGCCACAGTTTTACCATCTCATTTTGCATAGCTACCTCATGCAAGATTAAACTCCACAGTACCACTAGGTTTAGAAAACTTCTGTTGTTGTTAAACCTGTCGTTAAAAGAAGCTGTAATCTTTGTTCAGTCCAATTAATACGCATTGAAATGTTTTTGGGTGGGATCTGCAGTCCACAGTGTTGGATCGGTTAATGATGGGTTGCTAAAATCAGTCTAAATTGGTCTAAATTACATTAGATTCTAATTTCAATAGAGTGAGTTGAAGATACAAGTGGTTATTTTCTGAGTTGATGAAGACAAATCTTAAATGAATCCTTCCACATTTTTTATTACATGCCAGAGTCTACCTGAGATGAAGGCTTATGAAGTACATTTCAATGTCTGTCATGGAAATGTGTACATAGCCGATATTGGGGTTTTCTGCATGGCAAAAAGATATATTTTATCTGTATTTTTGTTTCATTTTACAAATAATATTTATTTAATCGCCCATGTACTTGTGAGCTAATCCACTTTTGGTAGTAATACTGATCGAACTACATTTTTATCCTTTCATTTTTCAGGATATGTAATCTGTGGCATAATTTCGAAATGCCTCCTTCCACTTTCCCCCAAGAAAAAAAAATATATGAACATGAGTGTA